TAATTAGGGGGGGTACCACTTCAAAGTGACCTTCCCCTAACACGTATCATCAGTACGTGCACATGCAGGCGGCAGCAAATGTATTAATACAGAACCGCAAATAGAAATGCGCATATCCGTTGCGGTGTGGGCTAGCGCCGTCGGCAAGAAGATTACGTCGGATCTCCCGGCTGCATCGATTGAACACATGGAATTAATGAAATGTGCGATCTGGCGTCAATATAGTGCGCAGCGCTCGCCGCATTGGCAGCAATCGGCCGCGGTATCCGTCGACGTACTAGGATGCGCTTTAGTATGCATACAATTTAATCGTCGCGATGAGAATGCTATACATATCACCTTATTTCATTGAGCATGCCGCCTGCAGCTTCTGGCACATAATCATTGGGATAGAGCATCGCTTACTAAACACAAGCTGCCGCAGCTTTAAACAGGGAAGACATGTTGGATGCCTGACCCACTGCTTAGCGCGTTGATGTCACAATCATTGAATGCATGCAATGCAGACTTAGTAATGGTATAAGCCCTCAAAGTTGATATGGAGTGTTCAATCTGGCCGGCCTCGAGCCTGGCCGCGAGATTTTAAGGCAGGTCTCTTATAAGCGCCCTTGAATTCTGCCATGGACAAGGGTGCCGGATCTGTTTTCTGCCCTGTTTGGCATCCCTCTTGTGAGTTCTGGTGATCGAACTCACAAGAGGGATACAAAGATCGCAACTCGATTGGAATGAAGTTCTCCGAGCAGAAGTCCATTGTCTATTAGCTAAGGTCCTTACACGATCCATACATTGAAAACTAGGCCAAACGAACAGAATCCGATCTGTCAAATGTGCTTCTCGATGGCCTCTATCAATGCATCGTACTTGGCACCTTGTATCTCGTCAATTTGTTCCTTCTTTTTGAACAACTTGAATGTAGGTACGGCCTTGATGCCTAAACTCTTTGCAAGAGGCTACAAACAGAAAGAGGAGTGTCTTTAGAGAATCCAGAATCGTAGTCAGTCCTAAAGTGCTTCGAAGGATTGGCACAGGCCACACAAACATCGTCGCAAGGTTGCTTTCATGTATGAAACTTCGTGTCTTCATTATTCTTCAGAGAAGGACTTCTTCAATAGGGAATCCACGCCCTTTTTCCGAAACACTTTTGCATCGTGACCATCTCAGTAGCAAAGTGGTGACCCTCGGTGCTGTGCAAAGCAGAGTCTGCGGTCTGGACACCAAGGATGCAGCGTTTAATCAACTTACCTTGTTCTCTTGGTTGCAATCCAATTTGATGAAGACCGCTTGATTATATTTATCGGCAGCTTCCACCAGTTTTGGGTACATAAGCTTACAGGGTCCGCACCTAGGTGGCACAAAGAAACATCGGTTTTGATTATTACCTTCGGAAGCACATGAACGAAACAAGACAAATCTCAGATTCTCCATGTTGAGATGGCTTTTGCAGCGTCAGGTCAACTTCAAGTGTCAGGACGAAGTCAAGTTGTTCTAATGACTGCCCTGCATTTGCCAATCTACAGAATCTCTAAGCCAACAAAGCTGCCCAAGCAGCGGGGCCCAAGACCCTAACTAAATGAGGGTTAAGGCCCTCAAAGGTTGGTTATCATACAAGGTCAACACGTACACGCTTGTCACAGACTAAGTAGTTGGCAAAATCTCAAGGTTCTTCAATAGTAACTGAGGTTCTAAGTGGGGATGTCGTTGCAACTGAATGATGACTTGCGTGCCTCTCGAAGTGGCAACTCCAGATGCAGAGGTGCCGCAGTCCCTTATGATGGAGGGGGGCTGGATGCGGAATGTGGGATGGCCTGGAACCAGCTGAGTCAATTAAGCAACCAAAGTACCTCCAACAAAAGGAACAGCGTTCAGGAGCTAAGTGAACGTGGAAATTTTGAAAAGCCGGCAGCTAGCGCCGCACAATCATGCATCAAAGCCATGCATCTGAGGGATCTCGAAGGGTAGCCCGAGCAATTGAAGAAAACCTGTGAGGCTTTAACATGGAGGCTTTTGATCCCGGAGTCGTGTTGTCTAATGCCTCTCTCCCCACTCCCCAACAGGCTTGCCTGCCTGCTTTTAAACCGGGTTCAAGGAGAAGCCATGAGCTCAACCGATGTCATGTTTTGAGTCCTCTAAATTCTGGGAAGCAGCCCCTAAACTCAAAGGCGTGTATGACAGACGCAAACTTAAGCTGCTGATTGATGCTCTCAAAGATTGAACAATGTACATACATCCAGAGCAGAACTATTCTTCTCGGGGGCCAGATTGTTCCATCCTGGCCACATTCCCCCCAAGCCTGGTTCAGCAGGAAAGTGCGCACCAGCAAACCAGTATCCTCATTTGTGATAGCTTAAGATGGTAGCAAAACCCTAAAACATCTTGGCAAGCTCACCACTGAGTGTACATGTCCAGTACAACCAGCTTGTCCCCCGCTTCTTCCAAAAGGGCGTGGAACGTCTCATTCCCAACCTCCCTGATCTTGTCTACAGTACCAACCGCCTCAGCACTGACTTGGACTCCCTGCCTCCGTTTCACCTTGGCTCCGCTGAAGCCGCCTGGTCTTCTCAATTCTTCTAGCTGCCGCTGTCTCCTCAAGCAAGCGCAAATTCGACGTTGCCTCTGGGCAACGAAGGGGAGGCCATTTGAGCAAGCTGCAGCAGGGGCTGGCAAAGTTGACTTTTTACTGGTCTCCAATGCTGCAAGAGAAAACGTGCTGCTGGCTCCCACGCCAGCAAATGTGGTGCAAGCCATCCTATTCAGGCAACAAGTCCAATGAATTTCTTGGAGAGAGAGAAGGGACGCTGTTGTTCCTTGTCTGCTGTTCAACTTCAAGTTCAAGTACCTCTATGATACTACTTAAAGTCTATGGAAGCTGAGTTCCTTCTGGACAGCGATTTTCAGCTCAACTGTTCATGGAAGGCTCAAGAAATAATGCCCTGTATCTTACAGGTTGCCCTGCCGGTTTGACCCAGACTTGGTTTGACCTGTCAAACCGGCTGAAGTATGATGCGCCGTTAGTGTTATATTCTAGCGAATATGAGGACCCTTCTTGCTGATTTTGCAAGACATATGCCGTCTTTTTGCAGACCGCCGATAACGAGGCAATTTCCAGCATGCCACACCTTATATGCAATATATACCTTCTAATATGCGAGGGGACAAATCCGATTATCTGCAATCTGCAAAGCAAAGCACATTGACCTGTCTCCTTGGGCTCTGGAGCTGGAGCCTGCTGAGGTCCGAGGAGAAGTTGGAAGAGGTTGAACAGCTCATTCAAAGGCTGTTGATGTGAGGAGGCAATGGCCCCCAGTGTAGCCGCTGGATCCTTGCTGTGCATTGTTCTCTCCCTCATTGCGGCAGCTTACATCCGAGCGGTGGTTCGTACTCTCCCCAAAGGCCTCTGGCGCATCCTTGCATCAGCTCCAGTCTTTGCAGCCTTTGCTGTAGCTCCAGTCTGTCTCTTTGACAGGAGCACGAACGTGGTTGCCGTGTTGCTGACGTCAGCGTTTCTACTTTGGTGGGGAAACTCCAAGGTGGTCGCACTCTGCTGGGGGAAGGGCCCTTTAGCGAACCACTCCAGGAGCCAGCGGCCATGGCTGGAATTTCTGGGGTTTACTGCATTGCTCAGTCTCCCGGTAGTTGTAGTGACGAAGAAGGGTTCAGAGGCAGCCTCTCCTGGAAAATGCAAAGTCAAGGGCGCCAATGAGGGGGAAGAAAACAGGAACGGTGTATCAGTTCCATCTGAGCTGGGTCTACAAAGCAGGATTCGAAGTTGTGAAGCTGTTAAGCAGAATGGCTTTGTTAAGGAAGCCTTTGTAGCTAACGGCTTCTCTTTGAAACCAGATTTGATAGATGCTGAGAAGCCGAGAGTAAAACCTCCTGAGCACCAATGGCGTCTCCTTCTGAAGAGCAGTCTCTCCCATGGCGCCCTCTTTGTCTCGCTCATTTACCTGCTGGATATCCAAGAGCACCTGCCAGAGATCATAGTCAGGTTGATCTACGTCGGCATCATGTATTCATTCATGATGTTCAGCTTCCCACTGTGCGCAGTATTTGCGTCAGCCGCCCTGGGCGTGGAGCTGTTCCCCCACTTTGACCGCCCCTGGTTGTCGCAGTCCCTGGCCGATTTCTGGGGACACCGTTGGAATTTGACAGCAAACAGAGTGCTGAGAGATGCCGTCTACTTCCCCCTCAAAGAATATCTAGAAAGGGCCCTGATTCACAACGGACACTCCCACTCAAACAGGGCGAACGGTTTAGCTAAGAGTCATAGTAGCTTAGATATTGTGAAGCCCTGGTTTAGCCTGAGCTGGCTCTCTCAAGCACGGCGTAGTAGGATAGCAAAGGGTATTGCAGCACAGGCGACCTTCTTCGTGTCTGGCTTTATGCACGAGATCATTATATATTATGCAACCGGCGAAGCAACGGGAGAGTGGACTGCCTTTTTCACGTTGCACGGCACCGCATTCCTTGTAGAGTCTGAAGTGGTAATTCCCCTTGCAAGGTACATGAGAGTAGATCTGCCCCGTTGGATAAAAATAACTGTAACTTTAGTTTTCTTTATGGTTACAGCAGACATGCTTTTCTTTCCGCCTGTAGTAAGGTCTGGCCTCGACAGGGCAGGACTGAACGAGTTCAGAACTCTCTTAAGAACATTAACAGGAGTTTGAAAGGTGGCTGGGGCACTGGATCGGCAACTTGCACAATATAGGTACACAATGACTGCGCAGTTGTAACTGGTGCAACTTACCTAGGTTATCTGACTCGATTGTTATCGTCGTGACTGACTTTCAGAGGACATGCTTGCTGATAAATCAAATAGACGGGAATGGTACAATACCTCGCAATTGGTTTCATTGTAGAGCTGTAGAGCTCAATTGGTAAATTGAAAACTGCATGGATTTAAACCCTTCCACTTTACGAATCTTGCAGTGCATGGAAAAGCTGCACTAAGCAGCTCCGAGTCGTGTGAATTGTTCGTCAAAATCGCGAGTATAATGGGAGCTGTGTGCCGTGGTTGTTTGCTGAGGCGTTGCAGATTAAGGTCTGCTGCACCACTTACCGAGTGTTTATATGCCCCAGTTGTTTAGTGCAACTTGTAGTAAATATAACTTATAAGGCCAACAACTGAGGGTGGACCCCAATAATTCAATAACTATCTAGAAAGCTGCGGCAAATCATCATGGTCATATGTTTAAGGAATCAGTCGAATATGAAGTCTCAGGCTCGATCGGACCCGGTTCCTTGATTGCTTACAGTTCATGTATCGTTGGCCGGAAGCTCCATGTGCGGGACTTAGTCCGGAGTCCCAGCTTGCAAGTCGCTGACGGCATCAAGTGCTCGAATCTGTAATGGAAATCCACTTATGGTGGCGGCATATGGCACGAAAAGGAAATGCTGCAGGTGCGTAAAGTTCTCTGGCATTCTCTACCCTATTATATCAGCAAGTTCCTTCAGCAGATGTGACTGAAGCTTCGTTACAGAATCACGAACGCCATGGTACAATGGCTCACCCTGAATGCTGTAATCAGAGAGTTGAGAATCCGTCATCCTTAACGATCCTCGTGAGAATCGACCGTCCGAAACCATCATCTTGCGCAAAACGTATGTCACACGCCGTTCCCTCTGACACTTTAATTGTCGAGGTGCCTAAACAGTCATTCCATGCATTATTGCAACCGCTTCAAAGGGCAAGACGACGATACCGAAGCGCTAAATGAAGCATAAGATACGCTTTGCAAAAGTCGACTCGACGACGCCGTTGATAGTCACTGACATCGTTCGTGACCTTTTCAACGTTCTACAACATGAGGAGGATGGATGTATCGTGGGTTGCGAAGTTTGAAATTGACAGGAGCTGTCGACACAAAAGGCCATTTTCGACCAGCTTCCGTGGTCATTTCCCCGTCTGATCGTTACGTCCACGTGTACTGGCTTGAGTGTTTGAACCGCCGCGTCTTCCGTGCTAGCTCTGCACAAGAGAAGACAAAAAGCCGGTCAGATCTGGACATAATTGTGCGACATGTAAGGATGTGGGCTTTCGATAGGGCTTGTGTGAGATTGCGCAAGATTCCTGTTTTGGCTTTTCCATGTCTCGAGTGGTTTGCAGGATCGCAACTACACAGAGTCTCCCTCCGGGCGAGTGGCGAAGCAGATCAGCCAGGAGTCTCAAACACACACGGTATTAGCATCACTGCCGCCGCGCTCAAGGACACTTGCACCTTGCATTTCTCGGTAACCGCGACCCCTGCAGACCCCGTCCAGCTAACCTTCCTGAATTCGACATTGAACGAATCCAGTACGGGCACCATCGGACGGCACTGGAAAGCTTGTCCGAGCTGCCCAAACGCTTGTTCACCAATCATCATTCTGATCGATGGCGCGACTCAAATGTGTGTTTTGGCCTCCGGATCGAGCCTCATTCACTTTTTCAATTCATGAACCAGCGAGGTTTGGTCGCAGGCGTCCACTCCAGTCAATCGGACCAACACTTCGAAATCAAATGTTTAGCTCCATCTTCGTCTCGAAGCAGTGTGCCCGAGGCGACCAACAGCTTCACACCACTCCCGCACTTCAAAAGCAACAAAGTCCATCGTTCCTTTGAAAACCTGGGACACCGCACCATGGGGCAGCATGCAGACTGCGTCTTTATCATGCTTAGAAAGAGTTTTCGAGATTAGCTGAAAACTTAACATAGATCCAACCAATGAAAACTGAAACTCCTCACCCCGGAGCAGCATGTGGAAGGCGTCACCCTCGCGCGGCGGCCGCTGGTACGTGTACTTGAGCCACACCTTGTCCATCTCCAGCCGCCGCAGCTCGCGCTCTTCTTCGGGCATGCCGCGCATCAGCTCAACGAGGGTGTCGATCTGCGAGAAGGAGAGAGACGGGGACTCGCTTCGATCATAGATGCAAGAACAGGGGGATAAAGGCTGGAGTACGAGCTAACCTGAAAGCATGCCAGGGAAGTAAGCGGGAAGACGGAGAACCATCGAGGAGTTTGCCGGTTTCGAGTGGTAATGAGAGATCAGATACGAAGGACCGAATATTTAGAATGATAATGGAAGCAACAAACAATGACAGGCCTGTATTAAATTTTGAACATCAGGAGTGACGAAGACCACATCCGTGAGGTCGTAGACGGGTAAGAGTCTGGCGGACCGGCGTGAGAGCGTCTCCTATCAAGCGGTCGTCTTCGTTTCGTCTAGGACAGGGACGAACAAAACTCCCACGATTACAGAACAAGAAAAGCCCCCATGAGACAAAAGCGGGAAAGCTTCTGAAAAGCGGCCCCACCTTGGCTTCCGGCACTTTGATCGCGAACCGCGAGTAGTCGATCTCGTTCTCCCAAGGAAACTCGATGTCGTCGGCGACTACCACCGGGATGCACCGGGTCATCACCGCCTGGTAGAAGCGCAGCGTCCAGGGCGTCCAACCGAGCGGGCACAGGCAGAAATTGGCGCGAGACATTTCCCGGTGGTAGCACTCCCGGTCGCAGTCGGAGCTCGCCTGCTTGAAGATGATGTCTGCAGAACGGGAGGAAGGGCGGGGAAATTTAGAGAATGCTCGGCGGAGATATGCGGTTTGCCATGAGGGGATGAAAAGGCACGAGGATGGACTCCAAAAAATCCGCGATTCTAAGACTCTCTCGAGACGTGGCCGAGTGATTTTAACTGGGAAGAAGTGGAAACGAGCAGTGATTGCAAAATAATAACGACGTGACCTGGCTAAACTTTTCACTCCTGAGTAGTAGGTGACCCAGCCGCAACCACCGGCGCGCTTCGAAGGACAAATTATATCGATAGTATGCGCGGGGATCTTGTCGAATATTCACATCGCGAGGGCTGAATGGACTCACTTTCCATCATAACGGATGAAAGCGCTCGTGCGTAAGAAGCAAAATCATCACGGTCCTGCCAAACTGTGCATCATTTGACCAAACAAAGTTTGTTCGCGGTTTTGATGGACCTTGCATACGTTGGCCAGCTTGTTCAACGCTCACCTCCCGCTGTTTTTGCTGAGTGCTCCAGGCTGCCGTATCGACAGTAGCAATTGCGCTTCTCGAAATTCGTAATTGCAGCTTGTTTATCCCAAAATCTAGGTTCACAGTCTTGTCACCAACATCCTCTTTCAAGTGACCTTATTGCCATAATGGCCAAGTGGACTTGGCCGCAACATGGGTGCTCATAAGCGATGATCACGCAACCGGTCTCGTTTTGCAGCAGGTCCCGTATCCGCGGCCGGATCCCCTTGCTATACGCGTTCCCCTCCCAGTGGTCGATCGTCCCCCGAAAGTACGCGAGCAGGTCCTTCTCCTTTGAGATCGCCGCGCGCGAGCTTGGGAGATAGAAGACAGGGTCCTGCAAGGGAAAACTCGCGCGCTGTAAGGACTCTGCTCGCGCACTGCTTGCGCACCCCGAAATATACCTGAAACTCGGAGCAGAAGAGCTCCGAGTTTGTAACGGCGCAACACGAGCCAAAGGAGCGCGATCGGCAGGCTGAGGAAGATCTAAAGTGACTAGAGCGCACAGAGTCAGAAGTTGCTCGCGCGGTGCGCTGTCGTTCTTGCTAGAGATGAGCAAGAGCAAGAGCAAGAGCAAGAGCAAGTGCAAGTGCAAGAGCAAGAGCAAGAGTTCTTGTTGGCCAACGTCAGCCGATTCGTTTCAACAAAAAGCCGGCGTTTTATGAAAGAGGACTCCGCTTTTGCCTTCGATGACTCTCCTCATTGAACATTCTGGACACCGCCAACTAACGTCATTATCGTCGCTCATGTTTATCGAGCAGGCGAGCCGTTTTTAGATCGTAAGGGCCACTAATCACCTACTGGAGTCGTCAAGCGTTTCCTTTTCGAGCATTTCACTTTCTCACGGCTCAACAACCGATACTCTCTTCGAAGTGGAGAGAGATGCTGGCGTATCTTCACATCTCATTGTAGAGCCCCACCATTATCAATACAGAAGATACTATCCGAACGAACTCCAAGCCCAAACTCCTTTCCGTCCATAGCTTCGAGCAAAGCCTGCAAAGTGATGCTTCGCCAAATATTCTTTGATGCAATAGCAGTTTTTGGCCTCTTTGAATGTGAGCATGTCACATGAGCTAAGATGGGTCCCTCACCGATTCCATTCCCGGAATGACAATATCTTTCCACGTATTGAAGTAGTCGATCGTCCGGTCCCCCTCGGGCGTCAGGAAAATGCTCTTGCCAATGTGCGTCCGCCAGTCCGAAAAGATCGTTGGGCCTCGAGCCTGCGAAAGGTTGTTCTTCAAGTTTCGCTCAAGCACTCGAAACAAGGATCGGCTGGGTTTTGTCGCCTCTCAAAACTGCGTGTCCTGGGGAGTCTTACCCATTTCCCCCACCAGACTTCGGCTCTTCTGCCCTGGTTCCATCAGGCGACTCTTAGGCAAAATAGGGAGTGCGTCAAAATCTAATCGAAAATCAAGGGTTCTCACGAATTCATCTTTGCTGAGTTGATCCGAGCTTTCCGACTCGGTATGGCTGACATCGTGGAACACTACGGCCGGCTCCGTCAGGACACGTGGCAGCTAAAAAATGTAAGCCAACAGAGTTTCCACAAAAATAGAAGAGCAGCTCGCCACGATGCGTCAGACGATCACGGTTTTCAGAGGGTTTCGACGCGCGCGAACACGACCGCGCCAAAATCCTTGATAGACGCTAGGCTCTGTCCCTTTCTTCAACCTCAACCAAAGGCGGTCGAGTGTCCAACATCTCAGGAACAGTCTTTGGAAGTCAGATGCTTGGAAAAAAACGCTCACCCCTGGGAACGAAAAGATATGGTCCCGCCCCTCGGTCCGGTTCCAGTACGGGTGCTCCTTTCGGACGATGTTTAGAGCCTGCAAAAGGACGTCCAAAGGTCACGAAAAGGGGTCGAGAAGTCTCAGAACTCGCCGAAGCAACGAAGAGATCACGTTGTATGGAGCATGTAAAGGACAACACGGCACAGAGAGGTGGATTTAACGGGCCAAGCTGGGCAACAGACTTACACGTGAGCTGCAACACAAGGGCTAGATCAACCCGACCTAAGTCTTGGGAGCTTCTATTGACGTGAATGATTCACTGCGGTAAAAGCTGAGGGCCGGAGAGTGGAAGGTCGATGAGCAGAGGGGACTCGCAAGCGCTTTCGGCACAATGTAGACGCGGTTTGCATTGAGCTGGTTGGGACTACCGGCTCTTTGTATGCAACTTCTTGGATGTAGTGTGTGAAAACTTCTTCTTGAGACTGAGAGGGTTGTCACGACATACCACTTTGAAGAGTTGGTTGGTGTAGTCAAACGACTTCTGGCGGCCCTCCTTTTTGTGCATCTCCCAGAACCAGAGGAAGCACTCGCCTGCAGATCGCACCGAGGAAAGTTTCGAGTCTTGATCGCTCTTGGTGAGAGGGCAGCTAATTCAGACAGGATGCAAAGACGAGTCTCTGATGCACAGGCATATAATCGGTCTCTAGCCAGAATTTGTCACGATCTGTGATTCATAAAGCTGCTTGCTTGCAAGAGATTAACTTGAAGCGCGTGAGATACCTACTCCTATGTTACTGATTGCTGCCGCCGACATCCTATTTTAATGCTCAAAGGGACAAGGTCTCGCAAACATACACGCTGCCTTTTAGCTGAGAACCTCTAAACTAGGTGATACCTAAACTAGGACAATGACAAACTTACCGTAAATGGGAACAAAGAAAAAGTCTGCTTCTTCAGGATCTGTGGTTCTGGCTGACGACTGTAAAAAAGAGGGGACTTTGCTGATGTCAGCAGATCATTGATGTCCGCACAGTGCGCTGGATGTCTGCCATGGCTTTGACACCGTCAGTAGGTGGTTATGATCAAATTACAGCATACAGGAACACGATTATCTTGCTCGTACAAACTGATTCTCATTACAAAGTTCTTCAAATGAAACCCAAAATAGTGATTGCATACATTCTGGGCAAGTCTTCAGGCGGTTGGTTGCTTGAAGCACATTGCTGCATTATGTACCCCTCCTATCGAAGGTGGTCTGAAGGCCTCCTTTGACCTAGACAATCGCATGACACATTACACAACACACAGCATTTGCAGCACTTCTGTGCTCGAACAACGTGTCCTAACCTGGCCTAGCTATTTGCCAACGTGCGGGGGAAGTGTCGTCACATCTCTTTGGATAATCATAGGATATAGGAGCTCGCAAGTGCCTAGACCAACTCTGCTCCTTTGAACACTTTTAAATAGCAGCTGTGACATTACGAAAGACATCTACCTGAAAAGTAGAGTCGACAAGCCCTTAAGGTGTTCATCGACACAATCAAAACTTTCAGCCGCTTGTGCAACAAAAGAGAAGATTGAAGGAAGTTCCACTCACCTGCAGGAATGCTTCGTGGAACCAGACCTCGGTGCCGTATTGGTCTGTGGAGCAGCGTGAAAATTTGCGTGCCATGTCCCTGTTGAACGTGCTCGGCAGGTTGTACACAAAAACCTTGGGCAGGTGCAACTCAGGAGGGTGGGGCTTCCTGAGGGCTGACTCATGAGCATCAATCTCACACCACTCGTTTGACTGCTCAAAACTCGACGGGGAACCCAGACCCTGTGTATTCTGAGCTCGACCCGACCTTCTGCAGCTGGAATTGCTGCCTAGCAGCTCAGCCCTCGCCTCTAGTTCCAGTCTAAGCTCTTGGATCTCCAGCAGCAGCTCTTTTCTCCTCTCAGCATAACTTGGATTACCCGCTTCTGACTCGGCTAGGTGAGAATCAAATCTCACAAGTTGGCTTCGGAGACTGGAGAGAGTTGCTTCAAGGGAAGAATGAGGTATGGAGTCTTTGAGCACTTGGACGGTGGCGTATCCGTAGGTGGCTACGATAGCAGCAGATGCGATCAAAAGGAGACAGATCGACAGCCAGACTGTCGAGCTGCCGCATCCCTTTGAATTCTCCATTGCCTTTCTGCGACAACCCAGCTTAAAGTGTTTTATCAAGCCATCAAAGGACAAGCAGCTGGTGGTTCCTCCAGTTCAGAGCGGACGAAGATTGCTCTATAATCATGAGCATCTTCGCCTGGCAGCGATTCAATAGCCGTCACATTGACCCCCGCCATCGTCCTCACGAGGAGGCTCCAGCTAAAAATTTGAAGGGAGAAGTCGAGAGCAAATGGCAATGCTTCTGCGGGGGCTTCTTCTTGCTGCCATATGTGCAGGCCAGCGAGCTGGATTTTTAGGGTTTCCGCAGGGATTGCGTTGAAAGTTGGAAGGTTTCACCAGCAAGAAATACCGAACAACCAGATTGCTTCTAACTCAACAATAACCCAAACCACAACCCTATGAGCGCAAAAGCGTTCTTACAGCATTTTCGAGGCATCCGTTACGATTTTCGGTTTAGCTTAGCTAAAATCTGCTTGCTGCGTTTTAGCTAAATTCTTTGGCTAAATTCTTGACGTCATCTTTGGGAAGTTGAAGCAACAGTTTACAGCATTTTCAGGGCATGCTTCCCGGTTGCGTTCGATAGATAGGGTGTATTTAGCCTAAACTTAGGCTAAGTTTAGTGTAAGTTTAGTCACATCACCAGATTTATTGACGTCATCTCAGAGAGAGGCTGTGACACGTGGAAGAATCTAGCGCGTCGGATGGAACCTGTCCGGTGGTTCTACGGCCCGATGATCACCCCTGTTCTACCTTGGCGGCTACTACGGAAAGATGTTCGATGACGTCAAAGCAATAGCTAAAGTTTAGCTAAAATTTAGTATCTAAATAGACCCTATCTATCCATCGCAACCGGGAAGCATGCCCTGAAAATGCTGTAGCTGACCTCAGCAAGTGAGACACGCGGCGCTATTTGAGTAAAGCCCTGCTTCATCTATGCTATCGCGTCCGTCCAAGTGGCTTTTTGTGCGATTGGGAGCCACGTGACCCGAACTTCGAATGAGAACTTGACGTCAGCTACATGTCATTGAGTTTGCTCCGAACTTGCAAAACCCTAGCGAGGTAGTAGGCTAGTTAGGCTAGTTAGGAAATCGAACCGGATGCCATGCATGCATGCACGTATGATTAATCTGCTGTAACACGCTCAGGGGCCAGGGCTGTCCAAAACCCATCCTAACCGCCTAGCTAACCCCACCCATCCTCTTCGAGTTCCTGCACCGCTGCAACTCAGTATGCATATTAACACTGGCGACAGCGCCACTTTACCCCGAGTGAATCCAATGATTGCTCGTTGCAAAATGTCAGACGTCCCCTCAGCCCTGCCACCTGGTGAGAATTTTTGCATATATTAGCTTACTGCAAATCAGGAGATCATGATTTATAGGCTGTTGTGGGCTGTTGCGCAGAGATAATACCTTCAAAAATGGACGAAAAATGAGAAGACGGGGATGTCCTCCGAGCAAGGCTGGCCCGAGGACAAGCTGGACTCTGGACTGCAAGCTCTTGGCTTATTCCCCGGGTAGGTGCTCCGACCTTCTACCGGTATACCATAACCATTGACCATTAGTATATGAGAAGGTCCTGTACAGATTCTGACCCCGTATGTGACTCTAATACGGCCGTGAGTCTTCGTCAATTCCACTGCAGAATCTACCGTAGTCACAGAAGTCGACTCGTGCATGCATGCCTGGGCCCTCGAGGCTGGGCCCTGGGGTACGGGGATCGGATTCGGCATATTCCTTGCCCTGTCACTGTGCCCCGGGACCATTTAAAATTCTGATTTGTAGCTTCCCGGCCTTCCGGCCGTCCCCCGGGCGGATGACCAACCAAAGATTCTATCCTGAGTTTCCAGGTGGCAGGTTCAGAATCAGAGTCTACCGTAGCTAGATCCTCGACGAAGGGACACTTCTCTCTCAAGATGTTGCTTCAAGAGTGCGACTCCCGACTGACGCGAACTTGGTGCATCATACAGACTTGCTTGGTAGTACTACCGGTACTAGGTGCATGATCCGAGATCGCTAGCGCTCCGAAAAAACAACTAATACAGTGATGGTGTGGGGGTGAGCATTGCAGCTCGTTGTCTGCCATTTCTGCATGGGGGGCAACACAGATCATCGGATGCTTCAAAACTGGTGGCAACTGTGCCTCGCAGAAACCACCAGTGTCCTCGCCCCACTTTCCTAAGCTTCTGTCTGACAAACAGACATTCTGGAACAGACGACTTCCTTGAGAACCAAATACCAAATCCACTAGGCCGCATAACTGCATAAGACGAGTTTACTTGCACCTGAGTACAAAGGTTGCAGCAGCAGTCCGTAGCTGGAACGACAACGCGCCACAAGGGGGCTTACAGTGAAGGTGTCAAAAGGAAGAGCATAGACGTAAGGTTCCCGCCTTCTGTTCAGCAAACTATTTCTGGTGGGGAGGATCTGACTGCAAGTGAACACAGCTTATTAGAGAAAGGAACAGAAGGGCGCCACCAGACAAAGTCTCAGGCGCGCTAAAAGGCAGACACTATCATTTAGTTGCATGCTCACCTAAGATAGGTGGTGCAAAAGTTTTGTTCAGGCTGCAATTGGACTTTTCAGAAAAAGGTGGCAGGAGAAGGAGGAATGAGAGGGGGGAAGCTAAGCATGGGCTGGTTTGAACTAGAGACTGGCAGCTAACCAACTAATCTTGTAACCAGAGATGGGGAAATAACCACCCGTCCCTTCAGGAGCAACTTGTTCTCAGGCATGGGAGAGGTGCCAGTGACAGAGGTCCAGCACAAGGCGCCACGTGGCAAGCTGCAATGGCGCCACCTGTCAGTGGACGCCAAGGAGGCCTTGCTGCGAGGGGGGCGGGTCAGCAACCTGCAGCTGGCCATCTTAATGATGATTCTTCTCTGCGGAGTGGACATCCTTATGCGGGGAACGCTCCAATGTTCGAGGGGACCAGACGTTTCACAACGTTCTGGGGGCTTGGCCCTTGCTGGGTTTGCTGGGGGGGGAGCGCTCGGGTCGTCGCGGGTGCGGTCAACCCACATGGCGTGCCCGCTGCATTGCGTAACTAGGGATGGGGAGGGGAGGAATGCGGTGCCCATTCAGCTGCCATGCCAGCCTGTTGCGTGCACAGAACTAGATATGGGTGGGAAACTAGACGGGAGAAAACTAGAGGGAAAAAAGGTAGAGACGGGAAGTGTATTGGGGGCAAGAGAAGAAGCAGGGGTCGGGGTCAGAAGAAATGCAGAAGCAGGAGGAATTGGAGGAGCAGGACAAGAACTAGAGCGGGCGGAAAGTAAGGGGGGCAGCTTGTTAGCATCAGGCAAATTGCCAGAAAGAATGCTTCCCAGGAGAATAGAGGAGCCAAGTCTGTCAGACACTCCGATCTTCTTCCTGGCGACGGATCCAGACCCGTACTCGATCGTGTGCATGAAACTGGCCCGCATCTACAGCCCGAAGGCGCCGTTGTATGTAATTACAACGAGGTGAGCTGGCGCCTCATGTGTCAGGCAGCAGCATCAAGGTGATCAACTAGACGTGTGGAAAACTTTGCGGGACGTTTATGTTTACCTGCTCTGCAGAGCACAACTCGGGCGCTTGGCAGTCACTGAATCCAGGTTGACACCCTACTCTACAGTCCCTTTCCACTGGAGCGTTTAGAAAGTCCAGAAAGTCCAGAAAGTTTTGTCATAAATTGGCCTTCCCACCTGGGTAATCCAACTTTCGAAGAACGGTGGGTGGGGCCCATACGCACTTGTTCAAGTGTATGCATTCGCTTATGGTCCACTTCAAGGTGCTGGGAAACAGAGACCCTGAAGCCTAAAGCCAAACATTCCCTTTAAATAGAACGTTGCCAGTTAGAAATTGCACCTTACCAGACTCACGAAGTTGCTTTCTGAATATGCTGTTCCGGTCCTCGTTCCTCTGCTCCTCCCAAATGTGCCTGATCAGATGCATGATTAATACCCGGCAAAAACTGAATGATATGAGACAAATGCAACCTAGATTATCCACTGACTTCCTAACGTGAGCTGCTTCAATTTGCCCCTCAGGTACGCAGTCGCGCACGCACGGTTCCATGAATTGCTGCACCTGCCAAACGTGCGGTTCAAGATGCTGGAACACTACGTCGAGGACGGCTCCGACTCAAGCGAATTCTACAAGGACTACATCCACCAGAGCGTGACGCAGGTGCTCGGAACTCTCACTAACCAAACAATACCTCTTAACTCTCACTATTAACTCAAAAATACCTCGTAACTGTCACTAACCGAACAATACCTCTTAACTCTCACTATCCAAACAATACCTCTTAACTCTCACCAACCAAACAATACCTCTTAAGTCTCACCAAAGAAAAAATACCTCTTCACTCTCACTAATCAAACAATACCTCGTAACTCTCACTAACCAAAGAATCCTTCTTAACTCTTACTAATCAAACAATACCTCTTGAAGTTCCTCAACCCAGCTCCTGAAAGATGCTTTGAGACTGATCCGGCTATGCCAGTCAGCGTTAAAGCTGCGGCCTTTTCTACACCCTCTCGCTGCTTCGTCCGAAAGTCGACTTCCAAAAGCTCCTCGAATGAAAAGTCGCTGTTTGTTTTCACAGACTAGAGTCCGAAGCCTCCGATGAAGCGCTTCCGTTATGCAAGTCGAGAGGGTAACGGGGCATGGACTTGGACTTTTGTTTGTGGAGGAAAGGGAATGAAAGATCGTTTCTTTCCCCGCAGATCAGGTTTGAGCGGCCGTCCGTTTGTGAAGAAAAGAGAATGGAAGATCGATTCTTTCCCCGCAGATCAAGTTTGAGCGGCTGTGCTTCTTTCGCTATTTCGTCATCCGGGAAATCTGCCGCGAGGAGGCCATCCAGCGCTTCCTCTACATGGACGGTGACGTGGCGCTCTTCTCTGACGTCAGCAAGTTCGCCGCGCATGACGTGGACCTGCTCGCGCTGACCACGCACTCGGGCTTCTTCTCGCTCTGGCGGCTGTCGCCGTTTGAAAGATTCTGCGAATACATGGCGGGCTTTTACAAGCGGGATCGGGAGCTCGTATACGAGGTGAGATCAAGCGTACTTGATTTGATTCGGCAATAGTCTGTGGGTTCTTCCGAGATACGATGGGTCTGAAAATTTCCTGCGCATTTGCAGTTAGCATTTGGATCACTCAATGTATAAGACCTGTGAGAAGTCAGCGTAATCGTCTAAGATTACTTGGCTTTTATCGTTTTGAGTGTCATTGAATAAGCGTTCTCTAACCCGCTTACGTTCAAGAACTCTGCACTCACGTGGCTCGCTTTTGTAGAAAACACCCGTAGCTAGTCCACAAGCTTAGCGTTTCCCGTTGCCGGACAGTAGGCTCTGAGGTTCCGGGTATTACGAAAGCCATTTCAGGAACGAAGGAGAAGAAGAAGACCATTTGGAATAGTGCCTTTCGACGCTTGAGCCCACTCAGTCCTGACCGTTGGACCTGAAGGGGTATCGTATCGCCTGAGATGATGATCAAAGCCCCCAATCCTTTCCCGATGTCTCAGAAAGCTGCAAAGCTGCACTCATGCGCTCGAATCCACGACCTTATTTCGTTACCGGTTCCGCTTCCCTTTCCGTGCAGGACATCAACCGGTACGGCATGAAGATGAAGGAGACGTCCGTGCAGTTCAGCGACTCATTCACTTGCTTCTTTCGCCATTATTTCAAGAGTCGCAAGTCGCACTCTGACGCTCGAACCCACACGCTCATTCCGTTTCCGTCTCCGCTTCCGTTTCCGCGCAGGACATCAACCGGAACGGCATGAAGATGAACGAGACGTTCGTGCAGTTCAGCGACATGTTCACTTGCTGCTTTCCCCGCCGGTACAGAAGTGCCCTCTTCACGCAGAAATCATCATCCCATTCCTTTTCCGGTTCCGTTTCCGCGCAGGACATCAACCGGAACGGCATGAAGATGAACGAGACGTTCGTGCAGTTCAGCGACATGTTCATGATGTTCTCCTGGTGGCAGCAGCACCAGGCCGACTTCTCCTGGAAGTTCCTCGTGCACGACTCCAAAAAGTTCCAGGTCAGGCCCTAAACCCTTTTCCTTAACCCTCGTACATTTCTGAGCTTAACCCAGTGGCTAGCAGTGACCTGTTTTGCTCCTGGTGGCAGCAGCACCGAGCCGACTTCTCCTGGAAGTTCCTCGTGCACGACTCCAAAAAGTTCCAGGTCAGCTTTTTGAAATTAACCCCAACCCGTGTGCTTAAACCTCGATTTCCTCTCTGTGTATCCGGTCTTTAGGAAGGACCTCTTCTCCACAGATTTTTCTGTGCACGATCTTTGTGTCGAGCTCAGCGTTTGCTTCTTGACAAACTTCCCACGACATTCCGTATGCTCAAATTCAGAGGCACTGAAGTGAGAGACGGGTATAGCGGGTGAAATGCTGATAATGGAGCGCATTGTATTCTCAAGAATGACAGAGCATTTCGGAGAGATCGACAAAGCTATGATCCCGGGGTTTTCCTCAACTCGTGAGGACATGCTAGGCTATGGCAATTGTGGGATCTTAAGTGCCTCTCCTCTGCGGTCCTTGCAGGACGGCTTCTTCGAGTATTGGCCCATGATGAACCTGCAGAACATCATCGGGTGGGACTGCCTCGAAGAGGACTACCGGCAGAAGATGGAGTGGCGGGAAGACGAGCAGGTACGGCCACGTGGTCGCTCGCACTTTTGGACACGTGTCATTCACGTCGACAGCTCTGCTACTGTTGCTGGGCAGCGACGGTTTTCAAAATGTTGCTTGTTCGGGATGCGGTTGCCGTGCTCTTCTGCTCTGTCAACTGTTCCGACTGCTGATCGAAGGCCAGATTCTCGCAATGGACCTAGGACGTCTGCCTGTCTTGGGCCTCTTCGTTCTTGTAGAGAACTGTAGAAGCTGATTTGCTGTTCCCTTCCTCTGGTTCTCTGGAAGCCCACGCGCAGTTCGCGTGGATTGTAAGTGGTCGTATAGAACGGTTGATCGGCTCTTGGACGGCTCAGAGTCTGTCTCTGTGTTCTTTCGTCTTCGTTCGTTTTGAGCGCCGATTCATCAAAGTCAAGAGCATTTCACGGCGCGCATGGCCGTGGCCTCGTAAGAGGATGCGAAAGAGAACTGTCGGCTAAACCGTTCAAACTCCACATATACGCGACGGAATGCATTGCTAAAGAGTGTAAGGATTCCGGTGTTGAAGCAATATGATGCGTCTTTTGCAGGGCAAGCCGATGCCGCATTTCAACGGCACCACGTTTCCGGGCCTCCATTTCCAGGGCTTTTACTGTAAGAATCTGTCGCGTTTCATATTGGATCCCATCATAGACAAGTGGCTACCGGTCAGAACGCACTCCTCGGATCCGGGCCTGAAGATTGCGTCACCCCTCCAGAGATACGACCTTAACCCCGGGTTACCGCCCAGTAACGGGCGACGGTAAAGTACCGAAGCGGAAGTTTTGTTAGTTTGAAGAGTTTGTGACATAAGCCTCGGAGATGTAGGCGGATGTAGGCTCGTATTCCTGCAGTCTAGCACTTTTAAGAGGGGCAACGGTATGGTATGGCGGGATAGGCCGCCGCTACATCGAGTAGATGTCGAGAAGAAAAATGGTCTCGAACGGAACGGGCCTTTTACGGACGATTCAGAAACAAAGCGAAAACGATTCTGGGTCACGTGCTATAGCTTTGGTCCTTGCAGAACAAGGAAGTTTCGATGAAAGATCGAAGAAACATGTGTAGGTCAGAGCAAGAATCAAGTCAGACCGGCCAAGGGTGGCATATCAATGAAACCTAGCACCTCTACCCATCAGTGTACACGGCATACATGCCACCGTCGATATCAGGCTATCTAACTTAATTGCTGAACAAAACGAGCAGTGTCTCTCATGTGCCGGGGCTAGCTAGCTAGGCTAGCTCATGCAACCGTTGAACTTATCAGTAACGAACGGAAGAAGTAAGCGCATGCATGATATATACACAAATTTTCCAAGTGGCTATAGCCTAGCTGCTTTTAGTAATGACGTCTTATATATGTATTTGAATAACTTGAGAGCTAGTGCCTATGCTCAGCAATGATATGCATGCATATTATACCAGATTGATCGCGAAATGGGCTAGCTCTCAGTGTGTACTACTACGTGCCTACTAGCCGGGCTTTGCCATGCAAGTTCATTTGCAAAGCTTGTAACTCTTCTGCCGCGGGATCGCGTTATACATGCATGCGCACGCAGCCGCGGTCGGACCGGCCGCAATTACTAGCTAGTGCATGTATGACGGTCGGGTTCTGATTGGTAACTCAGTGGCATGTTGCGGGGCAGCCATGCCGCAGTATATCTTCGTGCATCCTGCCCGTACTTCACTGATCATGTGTTGTTGCGCATAAACATTGAAAAATAGTGCAAGTCCATCGATTGGTAGCGATCCGGACATCGGACCCGCGCCCATAGCTGGTATTTCCTGCGCAACGACCGTTTTGGGTCACCCAGCCTCAAGGCCGGGCAGATTGAGAGTTCGAGATAGTGCATCAAAGGTACGATCAATCGTCCTTTGTGCGGTATCACACTGACACCCGTCAATACTTTTGACTAGGCAGGAGCCTTCAGCGCAGAAGAAGAGCCTCAGCTGCAATGCCCACCTGTACACTTGCCTCGTTCTGACGTAGCCGCTGTAGCTAAGTTATCGCTCTGTTCTACTTTTGACCTCAGCTAACGCGTGCTCAAGCTCAGCTAGCCCGGCTTCTGGGCGCTCGCTTCGGGCCGGGGGGGCAAAAAGTTCCTAAATCCGCGGTGGACAACCTCCCCCTCGCTGCTCTCATCCTCGTCCAAATCTCGCCCGGGGGGCTTCACCTTGGGTACTTCCTCTCTCATTGACTCGCTCGCGTCGTCCGGGGCAGCCGCGGCTCGCCTCTCCCGGTGGACCGGCTCGGTGTCCTCGACATTCCGCTCCGCTTGGTTTCCGCCCAGGGGCTTGAACGCCCGGAACGCACCAAACGCTGACCCCTCTTTGACTTCGGCTTTCAGAAACCCCCCCTGGTTTTGCCCTCCCTCCTCTCCACTCCCGGACACGCCTAGGTCCATCTCCGTGCTGCTCGCCGACGGCCGGTGCCGTCCCGCGAGGAGCCCCGACGCAACCTGGAAAAACGGGAACGCCCCCGGCGGGATCCCCCGGGCCTCGTCCAAAGAATGGAAGGCTCCCGGGGGGATCCCCCGGGCTTCGTCCAGCGAGGGGGCGTGCCCGGCCTGGGACGGCGCCGACGCGGCCGCGGTCGCGGCGTCGTAAAGCGCGGCCGCCGACGAGGCCGCAGCGTTGTACTCGGGGGGAACCCAGATGCTCCCGAGGACCACCACCTGGCCGGGACCGGGGCTCGCACCGCTTGTCGGGATGGGGCTCGGCCGCCGCGTGTGCAACCGGTACTTCTGCACGGATATAGATGCGCACTTCAATCAGCCGAGAGCCTCCCAAGGCTTACGGTATCACCTATTTGCGATGCGGGTGCGATTTCTGAGGGGCCGCATTCGCCGGCGGGCCACTCTAGTCGTTCAGTTTGATTCCCTGCGATGCGCGAATTCGCAGAGATTCAGATACCCCTCCCCTCCGCAGATCAGGTTGGTTCTTATGGAAAAGTGGCAGCCTCTGCTTTGGTTGGCGGTGCTGTTTCCATCGCCGCTCAGATACCGTCGGCTCCTAACTAGATCTTGCGAGTCGTAAGATCCTATCTGGTTCCGACTAGAACCTTTCGACTTCTGCCTGTGTGGAACCTGATACTGACATATATTCTTCACCCGGACTTTATCTGGAGTTCGCTCAATCAACGTCAATCAAAACCCATGATGAGTAAGAAAGCTGACTAAGAAAGCTCCCGGAGGACGCATTAAATTGCTCTACAACTTATGATGGGTGCGCAGCATGTCAGCTGAGATCGAATTTCTTAGTGGCCCGTTCACAATCCTTAGTCGTCATGCTTTTGATCAACCTGAAATCGAGGAGTATCTCACCTGGAGGTGGCTCTTGACTTCGTCGTTGGTCAGTCCGTCCACTTTCATGAGCTCCCGGATCTGCTTCGGCGTCGCCACCTGCGACCCCCCCAGCTGGTTCAGCGCGTTCACAAACCGCCGGTGCAGCTCGGGGCTCCAGCATCGGCGCTGCTTGCGCGACATCGCCCCGGTGCTGCCACGCAAACGAAAGGGGGGGTCAGCAAACTTCCAAGAAAGAGGAGGGGTTGTTTTCAGGTTTTCGGCTCCGCATGTTTTGAGTCATGATGGAAGGGCTAGTACCGCCGCTGCTTGCACGACATCGCCCCCGTGCTGTCACGCAGAAGAAAGGGGGGGTCACCAAAATCCGAATGCAAAAAGAGGGGTAACTTCGACTTGGTGATTTGCGCAGTATTTTCATCAAAAATCAAGGGGCTCCAGCACCGCCGCTGCTTGCGAGACATCGCCCCCGTGCTGCCACGCAAACGAAAGTGGGGGTCAGGAAAAAAAACGAGGAAAGGGGTACTTTTGGATTTGTTTCTGGTGCAGCATGTCTGATTGCAGATCAAGGGGTTCCGCACTGCCGCTGCTTACGCAACATCGCCCCCGTGCTGCCATGCGAACGAGCCGGGGGGCAAGTAGATAAACAGTGGGAAAAGAGAGGTAATTTTGACGTTCCTGGCGCAGCATGTTCGAAGGAGAAATCCAGGAGGCCCAGAACTGTGCCACACAAATGTAAGAGGTTTTTTGTCGAATCACGCTAAGTTGAGGCAGATCACTTTCAGGGGAAGAGGGGGGAAAGAAGCGGAGTGGGGTGGGTTGGCTGCAGTATGTTGACACCGGGTTTCGGGTTTTGCTTTGCGTGAGCCCACGAAAGCGACGCACCTCAACGTAAGCCCAACTCAAATGCAAAATTGAGATCTCTCGAAGCGAGGGGTTAGTCAAAGGAGCGGGAGAAAGGTGGGTGCTTCTCTGCTTTCATCTCACGTCAGCTTCTTATTCATGATCTCGAAGGATAGCAGATGGGTACTACGACATGGCCCGGCGATGTCTCTGACCAGTCGCAGACTTTGATCTCGCTTCGCTATCATCGCTCAATTGACAGCTCTCAAAATGAATTCTTACACCCCGACCGTCAATCTGAAGGGTCAATCAGTGGGGTCAAACCGTAGATCAAGCGTCCACGTCATCCATTCTCTGTCACCAGTGCACCGCACAATTCTTGAACCCCGTGCGTGCTTTGAGGGGTTAATCAGGACATAGTGCTTGCACCTGTCTCTCCACACGGATGGCCCTATCTTCACAATTTCAGGAGTGTCCGCCTCACTTAACTTTCTATTGAACTTCACCCTTTCTGCCGGCTACTGCTTTCGATGAATTGGTTCTATTTTGCAATGCTCAAATAAGAGTCGAGCGGCCAGATTTGCCACAGCGTGCAGTTACGAGTAAGAATAAGTGGAGGCGGTCCTGAGAGAAAGCTCCAATTGTATGAATAGTGCGCCGTGAAGGATAGCGCCAAGCGCAGGGGACGGGTGTGGTTAGCTTTCGGGTTAGGGTGGGTTTGGGTGCGGAGCGCATGAGTACTTTGATTTGTGTTTCAAGTTACTTCTTACCCTTCAGGACGACTTTAGCAGTCGTGTAGCTTAATCCTTCACAGAATCGAGACTATGTCCCAAAGAGCCTACCTTCCGGTTCCGTCGGTGGCCATGGCGGTTCCCTCCCCGGAGTGCCCGCCTTCGGTGTCTGAGGGGCCTGCGGGAGCCGTCTGAGACCTGGACGCAGAGCGCGGGGCGTCAGCCCAAAGGCAATTCAGCCATGGGCCTACATACTCGAGACTGGCAACCTTTGCTGAGTCTGCGTTCCGCTGAATTCAGATGCTTGCCCTCCTTACCAGGTCCCTATTTGAACGGTTCACGTTCTGCACTCAATCGGACCGGATCGTTGGCGAGGCAGGCAGGTCTCACGCAGCGTTTCACTAACCGTTCAAGTGACTCTGGTGTCAGTGTTTGCAGGACACGTTCTGGTCACGACGCGAGGTCCTTCTCGAAACAGGCGGGCTGATGAGTGGTCGTCGCGACTAGAAAAGAGAGGTTTCCTGCTGCCCTTGGCCCAGATAATCACAGCACCCTCGGATTGTAGAAGCAGCAGGTTGGCAACGTTCAGAGGCGGGCTGCCATCGAGCGCTTACCTTCGAGCCATTCAGGACTCCTGCTAATCGCAAAGCCCGAAGAGTGCTGCGACAAAACACCCCTGAACCCTCGGACATGAAAAAGGCGAAACCCAAGAACTGGTTGGCAACCATTGAGGAACGCACACGCACCTCCTTTCCTCGAGCACTGACGCTGGACTGCCGTCGTGGTCTTGTCCCGAGCCGGCGGCGAGGCCACCGGGCGTAAGATGGACGGCGAGGGGATAGGTTATGGCGCGGGGGGACGAGGGCCGGGCGACGTGCGGGCTGTGCTGCTCCCTGGAAGGACAAGGAAAGTGTTCTGCTTATGAGATGCTGTTACTGACGTTTCAGATAATCTTTTGCTTACGACGTTCACATCAAGTATGGGTTCTGACCACTCCCCTTGGATTTTGGACTTGGAGAGACTTGAAGTTTACCGTAAATGTTAACGAATCAAAGGGAGTTATGCAGGACGTGAGGCTGTGCTGCTCTCTTGGGTGAAGCGGAAGCTGTTGCCTTCACCACAAGGAAAGGATGATCGAATGGAGAGCTTAAGCAGCAACGGGGAAATCTGCTCTGTTGAATAGGGGGACGGTGTAGAAGGGGAATGCCAAACTAGGAACACCAATCAAATTGCTGTTCCGGGAGGGCTTCTTTGGAGTTAGAAATGTGGCAGAAATACAGCAAACCTGGGCTTGAATGGGGCTGGTTTGAAATAATTGGATGTAAGCCATGGGCGACCCGTACATAGCTCTGAAGTGAAAAGCATAACCGAAGACCTGTGCCGTCAGAAATAAAAGCTTCACAAGAATGTAAAACGGGGAACCGTACAGACTCCATGAGATCTCCACGAATTCAGTGGGTCAAAGATAAAACTGCAGGTGCAGCACGCCACACTTGAAGCGAAGGCAGTAAGATTCAGGAACTTGCGGAGCAGAAACGAGACTTCGGAACATGGGAGGAAAGCAGACAAAAGGCCTTCACCTCGAGACGGGCGAAAGCAACCCCGGCAAGCAATGCAGGACAAGCGAAGCACAGAAACACACTGACTTATCCACCTTGAAAACGGCAGAAAAGCGCCCGGCGTGCGAAACAACTGTGGCCCGGCACGCTCCTCCCCGCCATCCCGCAACGGCCGCCCCGGCGCCCTCTCGCCGCGCGGAGGCCCCAACCCCTCCATCCTCTGCTCCAAAGCTCTCTGCTCCACTCCCGTCTGCTGCGCCGCTCTCACCGAAATAGCCTCCGACAGCCAGGCGGGACTTCCCCGAAATGGGGGGGGAAACGGGAGGTGAGCAGGGTGGGGGGGGATGGTGGGGATGGGGCGGTGGGAGTGGTGGGAGCGGTCGCGTGGGCGCTCGGGCTCGCTGACGTCATCCGAGTCCATGGGCTCGTCATCGGCCTTGAGTTGCGCCTGAGTGGACTGGATCGCTGCAGTTGGGGTGGGAGGACGGGTTATGAAGGTTAAGGCTCTGGTTGTGGAGAATAAGGCTCGGATTATGTGAAACCACGTGGGCTGATGATTGCGAGCGCAGACTGCCTAAAAGGACAGGCGCACTCACTGGTGGGCTATTGGCGCTGGTACTCAATCAAGAGAACACCAAGTCGAAGTTTACTCATCGGTCCCGCTTGAGTCACGGTCGAGGGGAGCTACACTTGTGCCGAGAGCCGGACCTTCAGCCTTCAACCTTTGACAAAGACTTCCTTGAGCCGTTGCAAAGCAAATGGAAACGCTGGTTGAATGGCATGTGACTGGGGGGTACCGAGGTGGTTTAACGGGGCACATTGATGAAAGTAATCTTGAAGACGTAGACCCTCGCCACCATGGAATTACAATACCACCAAGCTCTGAACACGTTTGATTTAAGTGTTCCGTTTGGGCAGCTCCTCTAGGCACAACATCGTCTACAAAGCACCACTTGAAGGACCTTGGCAAGCCAGGTTTGCAAGCCAAACCCGTCGCCCACCCGGCAGCCGGCTCCTTGCCTCTCCCCCATCTACAACTCCCGTGACATTCTGACCTTTTGTAGCCAATTTGCATTTCTGGAGACTGTTCTTTCCATAGTCAGTTGATTTCCCAACCACGCACCGTCCGTGAGCAGTTGCATGCACAGCGGCAACTCCCGCTTGAAGGCCTCCACTTTTCGCCGCTCCTCCTCGAGCCCCCGCAGATACTCCTGCAGCTCCTGCCGGTCTGCATCGTCGCTCATCGCACCAGTGGGGGGTTGCGTCTGCCAGGAAATTGAGGGGGGGGGGATGGTGAGCTAGGGGAAGAAGGCCACATCCACCAAAGAGGATTTTAGAGGAAGGCACTCGCCAGAGGAGTGAGGGTGCCTTTAAACCCCCACCTGCATCTCATTGAAGATCACTTGACCTACGAACGGCCATACAAGGCTTTGTATGAGTCGGGGCCAAATCGCCGAAGGAAAGGATGACCTAAGGAAAAAGGGGGCAGCTGCCAAAGATAAGATAAGATAGCCGAGCGCAGCATTATAGATAGGGCCACACCTAGTTGAAAGAATACAGCAGATGAAAGAAACAGTCTCTCAGCACATAGGTGACGCTATGTCTGGAAAGTATTGCACATGCCAGTGCCTCCACAAGAGGCACACAAGACAATGAAAGAAAATGAAGAGAGTCAGAATTCCATCCTCCAGCAGCTTATGCAGTACTTTCCTGCACTTTATTCTGCCATTGTGCGGGCACTTTCTACCTGCATGTTGTTGGTCTGAGTAAGCATCAGGCCGTGCTCAAGAGGGGATGATCAAGTTGAAGTAGACTAAACCAACACTAGCATACTGTACTTTCCGTCAAGACCTCCCGAAAGAAACAATCTTTCACCGGACCTTATGGATATTACCTGCATGCAATTGTGTGTCCTCACAACAGCTTCCAGCAAGGGTTCTGAGAAGACGAATGGTGGTCTTGTAATCCATCAGCATTGCTCAGCTTTGATCCCGACTTAGTATGGTCCAATGCAAAGACTTTTCAGTTGATATATGAGCTCCATGTTTGGGAGCTTGTGACCAAAATGAGCGACTGTGCTTCAATAGCACCTAAGGAAGTACAATATCCAAAGTGATGCTATGCAAGCAGCATTGGTGAAGAACGGATTTCGCCATATTGACCATCTCATGACCTGACAATCTGAATGCAAATTGGGACAATGAAGTGCAAAAGATTCAATGCGTCAAATGTTGGGTTGTGTTTTTGGTGAAGCTTCTGCTATTTGTGAAACCCTTGCATTCTTGACCGCTTTTTCTGATTTAGGGTGCAGCCTTGAGAACGATGTTGATGAAAGAAAGTCGGGTATCAACGTCGGATGCCAAGCTGGATATATCGGTTGAGGCAGCTAACGGAAGGCAAGCCAATGGCACTGAAAGCAAGGATAAGCAATGCATTGCCTATCAAGTCAATGTTCACGTCTATCAAGACAAGTTTTGCCCAATTCTGGGTTGCATGACCTGGTGCCTTTGACATCTTGCCAGCTCTCATACTTCGCCTCTGTACAGAGAATGGAGTCAGAAATTGCAGAAAGGCTATCTGGATGCAGCACTAAAAGGAAATAAAACATCAGCATGACTCAATGAGCTCAAATTCGAAGTCAACTTCTCTATGTGGTCAGTGAGACACAAAATATGCCTGCAACAAACGAGCAGAGACTGGATTCATGGGAGACTGGAGACACGGGGCGGTGTAGTGGGTCAACGGGGAAGAGCCAACTCCAAGTCGAGCTTGGACAGTCTAATAGGAGTCGCCAATAAAAATCTGCTAAGTGCAATAAGAGCAACTGGTGCAGCTCGGCAGTCAAGCAGAGAAGTACGACATAAAATGAAGGCATTTGAGACTCGAAGCTGACAATCTGAGCCGTCCAAGTATTGAGGAAGAAGCTAATGAAAGGAACTTCATTCAAGCATCCCTTGAAAAAAGAGCCGACAAGAAGGCTTGCAGCACGGTGTTGTGCAACAGAGGCTGCTTCCAACGTATTTCGACATGCATATCTTCAATAACACAACATACGGTCGAAGAACCCTTTGCCTTCTGCTACCATGGCGACACCCTCACCTACAAAAATGCTTGAATAGGTGCCTCTTCAGCAGCACCTTTGGCCTTCCCCGCCGACCATCTTTGCTCAAGCCCTTACTTTCATCACCAGCACAACGTGCATTTGTAACCCTCTTAGCGTTCTTCACTGAGGCAATTCCCCTTCTGCCACCTACGCAACTGTCAAAGGAAAAGCCTTACACTACTATTGAAAACATGTCTTAATATTCAACTCTGCCTTTGCTGACAGAATACATCCTTTCTTCTAGGTAACATGTCAAAACTGGCTTCAGCACTTTCACAAAGGGTATAAGTGGTCAAAGAATCCACAGAGGGAACCCGGATTAGCAAACTGCAGCCTGCAAGCGTGCACCTTTCGCTAGCACTTCGAATCAATTCCTAAAGGAAGCTTTCTAAAGACTCAGAGCATGCGAAGCGGGTCGTTCTGTCTAGATAGATAACGAACACCTCCCTAGGCTCATTCGCACACATGATTGGCCTTCTTCTTCCATGCAAGATGCAATGGCAACATTCGCACTAGATATATTTGCTGTGTGCATATTGCAGTTGCTCCTGAAGATGCTTGCCCGGTATATGGGAAGATAGCGGAGTCCGGTCCAGTGGCCGACCGGAACTGAGAGTCCTCTTGCTAAGTCAGTCGGTCACAGTATTCCGGTCTCGAGGAGGCGTCAAGCGGAATAGATAACGTTCTGAACCGGTTGAATGAAACCGTCCGAATTTATGCAGATTGTCAAGAAAGGATTCTCCAATCTTGGATGGCGCAGCAGCTGAGCAGATTCCGACCCGATTCAAATAATCCAACACGACTGAGATTCCGGGGAAAGATGCGAGATTCTGCGTGAAAGGAGCGCCGTCCGAATCTGCCATGTGATTCAATGCACCGTTCGATGTTCCGCTTTGTGACGTCAGACGACGTAGCTGCTTGCAAGCGGTTGCCAGGCAACTTAGCCGCGGGCCGGCCGCCAAACGGTCGAACCGTGACACGGCGGCCGCGGCGCGCGGACCGCTGCTGAGCTAGTGCGCGGCCTCCCGGTATCCCGGGCCCTGTCCCTGCATTGAACGCCTTGCGAGGCTAGCTGCCCGAGTCTGTCCATACTTACCACAGCCTGTCCTCCGCCAGGTTAAGCTGCGCTACGCTCATGCAGCTCAGGCCGCTGGAGCCATTGTGACCGCTGCCGCCGCTGCGCTACGCTTATACGCTAAGCATTAGATTATATGTACGTTCACATGGGCCGTTCGGATTCTCGATTTGGCTTGTTGAGAATCGAGTGAACGAGTGGCCTCAAAGAATGTACAAATGTTCATGTATAGCGCTGCTCTTCTCGCCGGCCTCAGCACAGGGGGCTTGACTCTGAAGTTGTCGCAGCTGAGCTCTACATCCAACATTTGACAGCGATCAAGGCGTATTCGACTCGTTGCAAAGGCTTTTAATAACTGGCAATCTGAAATTTTCAAAGCTCCATATAGCACGAAGTTTTCAGACCATTCAATAATAACCAGTAAGGCGAGTCAGTTTACATGATACGCCGGTGAGCTTCAGAGCTTGTATAGCAGACCAGCATTCAAATGTTTTTTCATAAGTTTCCACTCGTTTGCTCCAGCATTTGCAGCCGGCACGGAAATATTTAAAACTACGACTTGAGTACTTGTGCTTCGAGATAATCTTATTGCGACGGGACTGGACGTGAAAATTGCCCTCGAGATGATATTGTTGTGATGGGAATGGACGTGAAAATTGCCCATGTCGATGCCTATTTAGAAAAAGAAAACGACCCAGGTGTCTGAATAGTGACGGCTCAAGCCGGAGTTTTCAACCGTCACCAAACGAAGGTACATATCAAAGGACCAATTGTTCTCCGAGACTCAAGTCACGTTGAGGTCCACTGCTCGCCTAAATGATTTCTGACCACTATACAGGCCGCTCGAGCTCCAACCTGATTTTACCAAGGCTTCGACTCTTTTTACCCCCGCTTAGTGAAAACAGGAGTTTTAAAACAGGGGCAGTGCGCGCTAGGATCCTAGTCTTTCCGAAGACCGACCTTCCGGGCCCACCTCTACATTTTCCAAGCTAAGCCGCGCTAAACCGCGTTGAGGTCCCCTCAACATCCGCTGAGCGCAGAGAATATGCAAGTACTTTAGCTCAACATCGTTATTTGTCTCATTTGGTCCCAGTTTACCAGGCGTTCCGCGCCCCTCCTGGCACATTTGGAGCGGACGCCACCATTTGTGGACCGCCCATCATCGCCTGAGTTGGGGGGGCCGTCATTTGAACGGCCCCGTTTTGCAGGAAAGCTGCACATGAGAACGAAACCCGAAGCGAAATTAGCTTCGGCAGTCGCAGCATACTGCGTGTTCAAAGTCGAAGCAGCCGGATGAGCAGGACACGCGTACGAGTTCCATGTGGTACTAACCGCTGCAGACCGAGTAATGCTTGATCCTATCGTTGATCCTCCTCGCTTCGATTGTGTACAGCACAAATGGGTCGTTTGATGCAGAGAAGAAGCTTGGGCAGCGGGGAGCGCGGGTCAAGAACATCTCCGTTTCACGACACACTTAACTGCCACTTGACTCTATTTCCGGCTTCGTTGTCAAGAAAGGCGCATAAGCAACTCCGAATCTCCGAAGTTTTCTATCCTTTCGACCTTTCTTGACGAAGACGGCTTGTTCTTGAACCTTAGTACATGATATCCTTTTCTTCACAGAAGCTTTTGAATCACTGGTCATTTGTCGTTGATCACCTTGGGCCCCGAAGGCCAATTTTTACACTGCTCCAAGAATGTCCACTCCAACAAGATCGCTGTGCAAGTCGAGCTTTGCTGGGGGTTTTATTCACCTGTGGGCCGCAGATTGGTGTCGTTGGCCAATCTGCCCGCTTCCCACTGGGACTTTGCCGTCTTGGCCGCGCGCGCAAAGCGCTCCGAGTCCGCGAGCCCCGGGACGTAGTGCAGCAGGCAGCAGCACAGGAAGCAATTGACCGCGTCGCACGGCGCGAAGGACACGACCTCGCCAAAACACTGCAACGCAACGGGTTTTCTCGATAAAGAGTCTTACGCGTCCATCGCTTGCGTGTGCGATTCACGATCTCGGGCCCCCCCTGAAACTTGAAACTCTCAAAGTGCTTGGAAGCCTTCTTTCATCGTTCGACTTGTGGGCTCGTATTGACCCTTGGACGTGTTCTCTCGACTTTTCAACGAAAAAAGCTCGCAGATAAGCGCACGTGCTATCTTACGCGGAGTTCTATTCTTCGTGGCCAACTTCAGGTTGAAGTACGGAGACTTTCGCGAAGACGTCGCGCGCGGAAGAGCAAACGACGTAGAAGTGCATATATTGCCCGACTTTGGAAAACAGTCGATCCTGATCTTGCGACAAACCAAGTGGTTTTCAACCCCAGCCGCGACAATAAAGAGAAGGGCAAGGTACTTTTGAGGGCCGTCCTCCGTACATACCCAAAGCGCGCCGCACTTACAACCATTCTCAGAGGAGGGGGATCAGGAGCTGGTTAAAGAATAAAGACGGACTTCGTTTAGGGCTGCAAAATAGGAGACGCGTTTGGAGGTTCTTGCACAGTTGTTTCATCGAGCGTTGAGGCGCAAAGTGGTGCGGTTCTGGCTGGAGCACTGACCGCGATGCAGCAGCAGCAGTGGTAGGGCGTGCAGCACCTCGCGGGTTTGACGGATCCGGCGACGCAGCTGTGGAAGAAGACCTTGCGGTGCGTGCACGTGTTGTACTGGAAAAGAAACACGAAGTGAGAAATCCTCTTTTTCAAGAAGCTAGCTAAGTCTAACATCTCATTTGGTACATCAGTGTGCGTGTAAAATTTTACAGGGTGCAGGCTCGCCATGACCATGAACGCTTCCGGATCTTCCACAATAGTGTAGAAACTCCATTTGATCTTCCTTAGTCTGCCCCTACGAACATACATGTAAGCTAAAGGATTCTCGAGAAGGCCGTATCGGTTGAGTCTCATAAGGTCGACGTGCTTACCTGGCATACACAGCACTCTGTGCAACAGAACGGCGCACAGACGAACGGGTACTCCGCCTCGACACTGTCTTCCAGGACCCGCACGTACGTCCGTTTCTTCAGCTGCAGCGTCCGAAGCGTCGGCAGTTTTGAAAATTCCCCGTAAGGTAATCACAGGATTCAATACCGAAAACGAGTGAATCATCATCTGAGGAAAAGAAAAGTGGTGCAAGTTGTGTTCGAAGTTGTGTTCGAAGTTGGCAGATGGACAATGGGCCAAGGAGGGAGCGTGTCAATACTGAAAGCAATCCTCTTACTTATACTTTTTCCCTGCGCTGAAGCAGTGAGGTCGCAGATTGAGAAGACTGCTAAGGGATACGCAAATCCATCGTGCAGCAAATCCTGAATCAGCTGCTTGAGGTGTTCAGAGAGAGCATCAAGGAGCTGTCAAAGTTTATTGGAAGAAGATGTATGCTGATTTGACTTACCCAAAGCCAGCACCAGCAGTTAGGGCCGAGGAAGTAACAGGGCCAAAACTTCCAGGAGTCGCTGATGGGCGCGTCGTGCAGGACGCCAATGGCGTTAGGGCTCTTCAGCCGGACGGTGTAGTCCAGCTGAGAGGGGTCTTGCCTGGGGACCACGAATGCATCATCTTGAACCTGCAAGAGGTTCATAAGAGCTGATTGTGTCAAGTAAAGTCCAATTATGGCAGCTTTTATGACTGCAGAAGGGCGCATGGAAGGAAGCTACGTGTTGTTGCTGAGCTCTCAGAAAGCTAGAGCGAGGCACCCCTTGGACATTCTGGTGTCCTTTGATGAACTCCGGATCTCGGGTTGAGCTTGTTGCAGGGCCACGTGCTATGTGCAAAGAGATTAGGTGAGCTGACTGGCTGAGGGGCCACATGATGCTGGATACCCCAAAAGCAACCAGATGTGAGCAGTCCTGAGTATCACGCGCTGACCTTCTCTGTCTTTAAAATGCTGACAACTCCATTGACAGCTTGAAGAACCAAACCTGATCATGAGCTAGGCATTTAATGTCCGTTTCCCTGGCAGTTGAGGCACCGGCAATCCACAGCACCCTTCCATGACAGACTCGAAGGCTGCAAGGCACTGGATAACATCTCACTCGCAAGACTGAGCAGAACGAAATGGTTGTTTGGAAACTGGATGGTACACGCTGAAGCCGGTAAACATCTCCCAACAAAAATCTGCTGGGATTTAAGCAGAGGACAAAACAGGAACCAGCCGTTCTGACTGATCTGGCAAAAGCGGAGAATTGGCGAGCTCCTCAAATAGCCGCAAAGCTCACCACATAGACCACCTGCTGAGGACTGCCCGGAGCCACCTGAGTCATGCCTGCTCCCACTGGATAGTTGTCGTACCCTTGCTGCCCCATCTTCTACCGACTAATCGAAGGCAGATCAGCTGAACTAGTCAATCGAGCTCGGACTTAGCAGCTTTGGGACTGGAAAAGTCGAGCTTTCTGTCTAGCTGGTTGGCTTATCTGCCTTGGAGTTTGCAGGGCGGCTTGGAAGGAGTCGGACTGGCACTCATGATAACTTGAAGCCGCTTGTCAAGCTACAGACTGTGCGTACAGCTCGTCTGACTCTCAGTTTGCAATGGCAGCTTGCAAGTTGCGAGACGCCCCCAGAAGCCCGTGTCAAAAGTCGGAACCAGAGAATTCTTCCAATCTTCTGGACTTCTGGGACTTCGAGCTAGCAGATCTTGATGATTTAAAACGTGAGAATTTGAAAGGGCGCACGTACGTACAATCTTTTTTATGCTTCTACAGTATTTCTTCTCATGAATCACAAGCGCCACTTCACTACTTCACACTTAACCCTCGTCACCGTAAGGTAGGTAAGGCTAAGTAAATAAGTAGGTAGGTCGTATTATGGTTCTAGCCGATTCTAGCGCGGACTTTGAAGTTCGAAATTAAAGCCGAGCTAATTACATAATATGATATTCCGTCCGCCATACAAATCAAGAGCCTCAGCCAGCCAGGTCTCCCGGGTCTTCGGCAGGTGTTGAAGACACCGGCACTCGATAAATTCGGTGTAATTGTAGCTACAGCCGCGTAACGACTCGCTGATACAAAATCAAAAGATACATCCAGATCGACGGCAGAGCTGCCACGCCGCCGAATCATCGGATTCAATCGACGGTTTTGCTACCTGCGGCTAGCGCTGCATGAGCCGACAAGATGCTCGCGTCCGATCGCGATCCCAACGGAGGATGTGACGGTATGTCGGGTGCATGCTTGTATATGGGCATGCTGTTCATGAACAGCTGAACGTACTCATGGAAATTCAACACATGGTCGCACCTCGAACATGCATGGCAAGAGAATTCGGCCGGGCTTTCAAAGCATTGAAGGTGGACATGTTGCGCAACCGCCATTCTTGCGCACATGGCCGGCCTTGGGGCCGACTCGAAGCCGTGCTGCCTAGCAAAAGCGTCCAATCTGCCTAGCACCCAAAGCAGCCTGAGTCTCAAACCGTTTTAATAAGTACGTTCAAGCATCTGGTGTGGTGTGCACATGCGATGATCGAAAAGCTTTGGCGGTAATAATGGAGAGTAAAGCCGGGTCGGCAGATCAAAAATGTAGGTTTTCTCTTGGTGTTCGAAAAGGTTCCAGAAGTGCCGTAGCTTCGTCCACAGGCTGCTCTAAGAAATGCAACGTGTCCAGATCGAGGACCTTTCTCCCAGACCTCAGTTGGAGAAAAAGATTTTCCAGCTTCCTCGGTGTCTCCGCCTCCGAAAGCAACGGGTGCAGAATCTGGGGTGAAAGTGCACAAGGACAGGTCAGCTTGATCAATAAATGAGGGCGAAAGAAAAGGTCGTCACAGAGGCGCACGCAATAGTTTTGGTCTTGGCATACTATCATTCGCAACTAGCAACCTGTAAGCAGACTCAACACATGATGCACTTGTTGAGAGAAATTGTTGCATGTCGCAAAATTGGAGTAATCCCAAGCTACGATGCTTCTTTCCTTTAAGATTGCAGCTTGCAATGAAGACAACGGAAAAGCCAGCGGTAACGTAATGGTTTCACAGAAAGGTGGCCACTGCCCTCTGAAGCAGGGGAAACGGAGCGAACACTTTTTGGTCAAGTCATCTAGAAGACAACAAGAAGAGAAGACAATAGCAATATTCGAGCTCACCTTCCGGGCATACCCACCAAAAGCCACGCCAGCGACTTTTCCAAAAACCCCAGCACGCTGCATACTGGTTGCGGTGTGGCCATTTGTTCCCCCTGCCAGCTGCAGGAAACCTGCGGAAAAAGACTGGCTGTTTAGTAAACGAACGAGAGCAGTAGTGACAAAATTGAATCGCTACCGTTACAAACGCTCAAGCCAAAGATTGGGCAAGCTTTTAGCACCTTGGGCTTTTCGTTCCGCTTTCTACATGCTCGCTTTCGAGTTTAAGAAGAGCAAAAACATGTGTGCGGCACTGCAGTGACAGAAGCTTCTCCAGCTTCCGTTACGAAAACGTCGCCATCATCACCCCCGCTTAGATCCCGTTAGACTTGGTCCGTCCGGATTCCCAACAAAAGCATGCATACCATGGCCAGGACCCTGAAACTGTCTCCCACGACTTTTCACAGTTTGGCAGCCCTCGAGTCGTTGATGTCTCGATCCATTTGCGGCCCACCATGCTTGTACTTGCTTTTGGAAATAGATATATATGACGGCCAAAAGGATTGAATGACATCGCAACGCTCCTCGTAAGACGACACGTGTCCTTACCTGGCGGCCTGGTCTCGTCCTGCAGCACCTTTTCTGCGAGTCGGCACGCCGCCCGTGTTGCGCCGGCGCCAATGTCGCCGCTCATTGGCCGCCCGTCGAGCTGCAACGCAAAACTTAAACCTCTGTGTTTTCTTTGAATGGACACTTTATCTGTCTTGTCTGCGACAGAGATGATGGGACTAAGATGGGAATCTTTAGATACATGAGATATGTATTTTCAAGAAGTAAGAAGGACGGGAAGAACACGCGGCGCCTGCGCCGATGCCGTCGCTCATTGGCTGCCCGTCGAAGCGCGAGAAAAGTGTGTGCTTTGCAGAACCCTCAACTTAACCAGATTTCTAGGAGCGACCGCCGAGCTTTTGCTTAAAAAAGGCCTGTTGCCGTACTTGCGATACAAAATTCAACGGGACCCTGATTCAAGAGTTGACTTTCTCTGCATGCTTAACCGGCAAGGCTCACCTTTTGTTCTGAAGTTCAAGCGCACAAACGCTATCGATAATCGACGCTGATTCTTCCTAAGAGAGCGGCCATTGAAGGCACAATACGCGTGAAGCAACACTAATTTCTAATGAACGGAGTGTATTTTCAAGACGAATCTTCAAGTGTTGAAACCCCGCAAAGCGAGATGACGTCAAAAATCTTCGTGAGCAACTCACCTGCCAGACAAGCACCGGCCCCCCTTGCTGAAGTAACCACGGGGCCATGACGTCATACATGGGCTGCATCTGAGGAAGGGCCGGCTCCGGGAGGCTCACCTGTTGACGGGGTAAATCAAAATCACCACAAAGTAGGAAAAATCAGAATGGATTGACCTCCCTAGGACAGTTGGCATTAGTCTGGGGGTTTGGAGTGGGCATGTGTACAGAGCGGGTAGGTATCTGGGTTAACATCGTGGTTTCGGCTTCATTCTTACTATGAATTGAGCTTATAGAGATTCAAAATGGAGGCGGTTGAAAAGGGTGCGCCAAAATAATCCAGACGAGGCCCAGAAAAGCAGCAATGCATCAAGATAGTTTAACGGCACTTTGAAACAGTCTGCTGTGAGGCACGTCGCACGCCGCACTCCGCGTTTCGTGTAGTCTTAACCACAATCGCCTGACTCCCGAAAGCCACCTCTAGTAGAATATCTTCTTCTTGGTCACTGTCCTCCGAGATTCTTGCGCATCGGCCCAGCCTAAAGGTCCGTAGAGGGGTGCGACTAAACGGCCGAACAAGTGCCGGGTAAATCTGAAGCGTTCTTCTTTTTGCAAGCAATGAACTTAAAAGACCGCACATTGATGGCCCCTCTCTTACCGCGACTAGTTTGAGCTGCTGAAATGCGGGGCCCAGCTTTTTCCAGAGCTGCCGGAACGCGGCAGGATCCCGTCCCTGAGTGTGGACTTCGACGGCGTCCACCCTCCCCTCACGCAAAAGCGCCGCAACAGCTTCCGGGGGACGAACGTAATTTCGGGCCTCTGCGTCAAGAGGGCGTTACAGCGGGCTTGGCAAGGGCTTTCTGTACAGAATCTGGGTTCTTAGAATGCGAAGGCAGCGAGAGATGACTTCAACGACATGAGAGGCGCGGTTGTCACCCCCGCAGATGCGCTGAATTTCCGACCTCAATCAGGAAACGGGTTATTCAAGAAGAGACTCTGGCATGCTCTCAAGGGGAGGAGAAGAAGACACTCAGGGGGAGTCTCGGGCTTAAGGACCTGTAAGCACCATTCAGGACCGTTTGGACTGAGCGGCAGAGCTTCTGGCAGTCACCTTCGTTACTTGTCCAGATTGAGAAGGAAGCAAGCCTGACAAGGATGCAGTTATTCTGCTCTCAAGCAGGAGTCTCCTGGCTAATGGGGGGATTAGCGCGTAACTGACCTATCAAACCCAAGGGACAAACGTTGATGCATCGACCGCAGCCGTAGCACCTCTCCTCAATGACGCCTCCCTCCTGACGACAAGACACGTGGACCGGATTTCTTGAAGGGAAGCATCGTGATCGTCAGATAAAAGGTGAGAGTAGACGAGGAAGTCAAGAAAAGAAGGAGGACGTGCAAAGCTGAACGGGCTTCACGCATGTATTTGGCAGATACTTTTGAGAGATACTCTGAGAGCGTCTGACGAAGAAGCATACGAAGACCGGTTCAAGATGGGCCAATATTGACAGTCTCAAGATGCGGCTTTTATTGGAATCCAACCAGCAAACCCCGCGATTGCCCAACACATCGTTCAAAATTCTGGAAAAGGCACTGATTGCACTTTTTGGTTCCCATTCCCAACCCAATCGATACTAGATAAGAAGCGGCCGACAGCTCAAGATTGCGGATTACAACTCGAATTCAGTAGTCGAGGGTGGCACGTTCGGCTGTATAAGGCTGGAGAGATATGCCAAAACCTCCTGAAGCGACCAACATACAACAGTTCTGCGCAGAAGAGAGAAACAACCACGATCATGAACGACAGCGGGAAACAGCCTCACCAGCTTCGTCTTTTCGGGCCCTGTTTGCAGCCCGTCTCCGTTCCCCGCCAGCTTCAGATCTATGGCCGCTGCCGGACAGATCGTCTCACAGGGCCTCGGACAGTCCGAAGGGCAGAGCTCCGCGTCAAAGACGGCCTTCCGAAAGTGGGGGTCTTGGTCGTCGTTTAGACTAACCATAACCAGCGGTCGGCGGAGCTTTGGGGTTTTGGGGTCTTGAGAGGTGCGGAGAAAGGCAGCGAAGAGGCGGAGCGCTGCAGAGATGCCCTCCTCGACGGCGGTGACGATTGCGGAGTCGCAGGCACAGTCGATGCAATCGACTAGGAAGGAAAAAATGACTGTCTTTAAATACCCCTTCCACCTTGAGTCTAGGAAGTTTATACCCCCTGGATCGGGATGAAGGAAGGTGACAGCAAGTTGGAGAGGCCCTCACGGCAGCTGACTATCCAAGCGAGAAGGACAGAGGTAAGTCTGACGGAAAATCTGCTCAAGCGCGAGCTAGACTCCAGATTTGACACGTCCAAACAGAAGAGAAATTCCGACCCTTGAGATCATCCCCAGCAGAGCGCATGAAGTGTAAGTCAAAACAATCGAAAAAAACCACGTTTACAGGTGGAACCAGCCAGATGTGCGTGGAAGTGCTGAAATGGCGCCAAAAGAAAGGAGACTGGTCATGATAAAGTCAAGACTCGAGTGCAGAAAAGTGGTACTGTCAAATGAGTTGTATACCCAGAGGACAAAGAACTAGAGACCTGCTTTGGATAAAGAAGCTGTTGGAAAGACGGGACACGTCACCATTCAGGGATTGATGAGGTGCCTGAGAAATTCTATCATACCTCCTGCCAGAGTGTAGATAAGCGCCAGGCTCCGGACTTCGATAGCGTCCTGCAATGATTCTGTATCTGAGTAAGGGTGCTAGAATACAAGCCACAAGCTAAGAAAGATCAACTTTCCTACAGGTGGGGGAATTCAATACTCCATGTCAATCTCTTCCCATGGGGCCGCTATTCAAACATTCCTGCCTGCACTTTCGTTGCAGTGTGAAACTGATCTTGCAATGCGTACGATCGCACAGGTGGCTTGGTGAATAATAAAAGCATCCTGGAGACCAGACGCAACTTTTGATCGGTAGTAGGAATCTAGCATGAAACTTTTTCTTTCCAAAAGAGGTGGTCACGTAGGGTGCTGAGGCTTGATATCACAGGGATTATCCTGGAAAGCACAAGAAGCTCACACAAACTGACTTTCCAGCCGTCACGTAATGCCAGGAGAGACTAACCCGCCAACTACGAACCAGCAGAGGAATCTAAGCGGTCCCTCTACCAGAGTCGAGTTCCCTTCTCTGGCGTGCGATGGCGGTGATGGTGCTTATTCTCACCTCAAAGCTGGCCCCGCAAATCAGCTTGACCCAGCTCCCCTGCTTGAGCGCCTCCAAAGGGCTCACCCCTGCAACTGCCGCTGCAGAGTCCGCCACCATTTCTGCCAATCCTCGAGTTGCAAGAGTGGTCCTTCTGTTCGGCTTCTCGCTTGCAAGCTCTCTTTCCACACTGAGGCAATTCGTCAAGCTGCTCCTGCATCTGAAAGGTCGGCGAAATGTCCTCTTTTTTCGGTGGGGAAACTGCAGATGAGGAGAGCAGGATTGCATTTGCGTGTTGCTGGCACAGCCGTTGGGGGTGACTTGTTGGGGAGCAAATGAGTACGGCGACCTGATGAAGCGCTGAGACGTCGCCATCCTCACATTGTTGATCAGAAGGCACAGCTCTGACTTTCTTTGGAAGAACTGCCATTCAGCTGCCCAGGGCGGAAAAGGAGAACGCAGCGAAACATGGGACCCACCGTCATGCCGTCACATATATGCACAGAGAAACGGTCGCTTATGGAATTAGCATCGAAGTTTACACGCAGGCCAGGCAGAGAGATAGAGCCCGGGGCGTCAATCGACCGTGGTTCGAAAGGCCCACGTGAGATGCAGGCGGTACAGCGTCCCGGGAGGCTCCTTACAGATTCCATTTCGACGACAAAACTCCGTGCCGATTCCCTGGAAAAACCGGCCGTCAATTCACGTCAATTCTCCCGAGGGCACAGCTTTGAGTTTCGAAGGCGAGGTTCTTGCAAGCTGCAACGGGTGGTGCTTCATTCAAGTCCATCAAATCGAAGGTGTCAGAAGATAGTGATATTGTGGACCTTGCCTGGGGGGATTTGTAAAGCATCGCCAGTTGATTGTCTTGATCGATTTGACGTGATGAAGCCTTCCCAGCTTAGATTTGTTCTCCTCCTCACTCTAACTTTTGCAGCTTGCAAATCACAAGCGTCCCGAACAGAGCCGGAGTCACCGGCTTTGCAACCAAGCGCTTATGAGCGGCTGACTGAGTATCATCTTCCCCCGGGGCTCCTCCCAGACAACGTGCTGAACTACACTCTCAAGGCGGACGGCGAATTCACACTCACCCTGAAGTCCAAATGCAGCATCGTCTACTCCATACCTGACGATGAGGTGCTTCCTTTCTCCAGATAAATTAGTGTGACCAGATCAACCAATTCAATGTCATTGGAAAGGGCTTGAGCAACCACTAGCGAAGCTGAGAAGGCACATTGTCCATCTGACAGGCCCGTCAGTTCACCCTATTGTGCCTGATGATGAGGTGGTCTCCTTGCTCTTAGTATCCTTGGTTGGCGGTCTCTAGCCAGGTCTTTGGAAGTCTAAGCTGGAAGAGGGGCGGGGACTCATTAAATCCTTCTTGTAAAGTGTGCCAGACTATTGATCCTTTGCAGCCACCGATTTGAGCCATTGGGAGCTTAAACTTGATACTTTCAGGCCAGATGTACTGTCTCACAGGAAGAAGTGGCCCACGGCATCATTTTTTAATGCGTTGTTACTTGTTTGTCTCAGCACGCATAGTGTTTATTCTTTTCATACAGAGAGAGGTTGGGAATGCGGTGGCTGCTACTCATTCAATTACAGTAAATGTCCAGGAGCTCATTGTTGCAACTGAGTGGTGTATGAAATAAAGTACAGAAATCTACATCAAAGGAATTGTGAGGCAAGATTTTGAGAGTTGACGCGCTCCTCCTGCTTTCAGGTGTTGGTGCATTATGACAAGCACATCACTGGCACCTTGAAGAATCTTGCCATCTCAGACCTGACGGGAGTGTCCACCAAGGAGTTCTTCTGGCTGGCGGTCACGCTGATTCATAAAGACAAGATCGACGATGACGTGGTGTATTTCAATGCAGGGTACCTGTACAGGCAAGCGAAAGCAATCTTGAAACCTGAGGATTTGGTAGCCAGTGAAGTTATTCCCTTTTTGAGAGAGCGGTCGCTGCACTTGTGGGGGTTGATGATTTCTTCTGAATTGTTCCTCACGTATTCTGCATACCATTCTTTTCAATATCTCGGCGCTCATCAGATTCGGGGAAGTGTACGATCAACGAGTTGCTAGGGCGCCATGTTTGATTGTTCGTTCTATCAAAGAGAATTGGGTGAGAAGCAATCAGACGGGGCTCTTGATCCGTAGCAGCTTTGAAGACAGTGTAGCAATCGGTGAAGAGTAAGAGTGTACCAAAGAGTCCAGTTCACGAAAAGCGATCCTGGTGATACTGCAGGTCTTTTAGCTGATGTGGTCTGTACGTTGATTCTTGAAGCAGAACTCTCTTCTTTGACAGTAGCAACGCAACGAATCTCTCAAGAGTTAACAATGTAAACACGCATGGGTAACCTGTTCCAACGTGTTCCCTCCATCGAGCAAGCAGGCCGCAAGCCACCGGATCTGATGCTTTGTTTATATGCGCAGGAGTTTCCCCGAGAGCGTGTTTGCATCCCCGAGGGTGAGTAAAACGCAAGCATTCCCGCGCTGACCATTGGGTTACCCGTTTTCAAGTGCCCAACCTTCATGAGGCACTGGCTTATTTTTGACAAAAGAAACTGAAAAGTCTAACTTCGGACCTGGTATTTCATCAGGAGTGGTCCTGCAGCAAAAGTTGCAAGCTGTTCTTGTTGCGGAGTTTGGTATCTGAAGAATAACTGAAGGCTGCATCAAGCTCTTTTCAAGTTCACTACATGGGACAACAAGCCTAGTATCTGTGATGGGTGACGGCCAACAAGTATGCTGGCGGTCAGAGATATCTCCTGTAGCCTTTGGGGCGACATGGTCTCCTCTGGAAAGTGAGCCAGGTATGCCTGTAGATTGAGTATTATCTCGTGTCATCTCGTGATCCTGACGCAGACGGTCGGTTGTCGTGTTTCAGCACTACTGAAGAGACCGATAAATTTTGTTTCGCATTTACCTTTCCAAATGCTAAGTGATCCGCTTTGTGTCCTTGTGCAGTCGTGCAGCGCAAACTTGAGTCCCGAAGTATGAGGCAATTCCCGAGGTTACGTAAGAGAGCAGGTTGTGCACCCTGGAAAGCTTCAGGGCGCCACTGTAGAGTCAGGCTGGCCAAGGTGATCTGCAGTATAATTGCATGTTCTTGACACATGCGCAAGTAATGAAAGTCTGTAGGCTACGATTACATTGCAACAGTTGGCAAGGGCCTAGTATAGCACGGATGTTCTTCTTGTTCGACAGGTGCTCCATGCTTCAGAGTACTCGCTCGATCGTTTTTGTGAGTCGCAGGGGGACCTTGAAATTGGAGAGTCCCTTTTGGTTTTTGCTGAGCTAGTTATGACAACAAAGGGGCGTTCATGTGCTCATCCCGTTCTGCATTCAGTGCAGAAAGGTGCTTGCAGATCATTCTTGTAGATGCTGCAGTGGTCATGCGCATCGTATTGGCCTTTCAAACGGTACAAAAGGTAGCCCAGGATGTCAGTGAGATCTGACGCATGCATTTATGGTGTCTGTGCTGTCGGCCGAATCTGCCAGCTGGTACTAAACATTGAATGCAAGCTGCGATGCAGTTCAATCAGGCATGCTGCGCAACGCACTTCGTTGATTGGGTCATGTGAGACGTGTTTGGCCACTGACCTGTATTTGACATACAGGCCTTGTTTGAGATTTAGTTTGACTCAACATGTTATAGTCATGGACTGCAACTTCAAGTACGTGTGAGTATCTCAATGTTTGTTAACTCGGCCCGCCTCGCATCATGGCACCGCATCATATCGGATAGCTGCTGGATGCTTGAAAATATAAGCGGCCGGGCGGACGAAACAGAATAGCTAAGTTGATGCTCGCAGCCGCCCCCGGCGCGCTAGATACATCTATACTACAAGCTAGTATCATGGCTGAAGTTTAGTACTGTATAAATTGTACTGTATATGGTACCGGGCCGTAGTTACAACATTCATCGCCGGCACATGTCAGCTAGAGGCCTTTTTATTTCTAAATGACTGCATGGTATGTGCGATCTGCATATGGTTCCCGCCCCGCAGTCACTGAGTGCGGGCCAAGTTCAATGATGATCATCGGATGCGCAAGCTGCAATCATGTTGCGAATATCGAATCCTTATATGTGCAAGCGTACACATGGGTATCCGATCAATCCATGCCAGGGGAGTCGAATTGCCACTTTGTACATGGCCTACAACATTGGAGGCCCCAAGATTGCGCTGGTTTCATACAACCTCGCAGACATATCTGAACATTCAAGTCGAACTTCTTGATTACTCATCATTCATAACAAGGCCTTGTAAACACATGGGGTATTGATCGAAGCCAGCTGGTGCCATTATGGTTCGATATTTTGATTGTTGCTTCCGGTATATGTGTGGCAGTTCCATTGATTGAGTAGCGATTTGCGAACGGGGCTATCCAAGAGTTGCCTGACTGTAGCCTGTTCTGGTGTAGTAAGCTACCAGATTTTGCAGATTTTGGGTGTAAATTGACGGTTTAAGTTCGTTTCAATGAGGTGATGAGAGGCGATGAGATTCGGTCCACCTAGTTCCCCTTCCACGCACCTGCCTCTATCGGAGCAACGAAATACATATCTTCTATACAGGTTCACATCGAACCACCAAAACGTCGATACGTTTTACCCAACTTGAAGATGAACATGCGCTGCTTATTGTTCTACCGATTAAAGACATGATGAAGTTCATGAAGCGCTTATAATCCAGTCTATGACGAGGCAATCGCCTTTTGCACCACTTCCTTCTGTTCCTTTGCGTGAAGGGACCCGAACCCGGTGGCTGTCGCGGCGGATGGCGGCCTGCCCACATACGCGATGTCTTCAAAAGCTCCACGGTTCACCTTATGAAGTGCGGTCGCCATACGCGGGGCCACGTATGTGTACGCGCCCATGTTCTGGGGCTCTTCTTGTGCCCATACGATCTCCGCATCTGCAAATTGGCGGGACGTCTGTCAGCAATGACGTGAATCCAAGCCACTTGTTTGGATTCGACAAAATCAAGAAAGCGTCTGGTGGCCGGTCGGACGAGAAGAGCCCTGGTTCAAATCGTTGGGCTGTTATCAACGAAGCGGCGACAAGAATGCCTGCCTGGAAAAGAGTCTGGGCAGTAGAATTGCCCACCATCTGTTCCTTTCCCCAAGCACACTTGAAAAGCGCCTAGCCTACCATACTCTCCAACTCAAGTCGAAAGGTTCAGCCTCGAACTGATCAGCTAAGCTTGAGGCGACAAGCGAATCCAAGAGGGAAGGGGGGGAAGTGCCTTTCGGTCGTTTTCAAAGTACGTCGAGGATCGACCGTTCAAAGCCGTCAAGCCCAGTAGAAGTCGACGACAAATGCCGATGCGTGTGATCGACAGATGCCTTGCTCGTCGGGAAAATGACAAGGCACAAGCAGCTTTGTCAAAGACAAGGGCGCGCAATGGCGAAACGGTGAAGACATCGCTGAATGATCAGGTCGCAGAGCAGACCCTCTTCCCTTCCAATCTTTAACATGGGTCCCAAGCCTTTCGAAAGGGTGAAACGGAAGCGGTTTGGCGAAATAATCGAGTTTCTGTGAAGGCCCGCTACATCCCGACTTTGGCGGAAAGGTGGTCAAGACTCACTGGGGTAGCAATGAATAAGGACAGGTGAGAATTACTTAGAAGGGGTTATGGCATATATTGTTAAAGCTCACTGCAATAACATTTAAGCGAAAAATGGGCAGAACTTACTGGGGTAGCGGTTGAGCTTGCATAGGACGGGGTCAGAACACAAGAATCTACGAAGACGAAGTCACCTGGAACCCAAACTCCTGTGGAAGGCCCCGGACGCCACGACCCCAGCATTGACTTCAGAAAAAGTTGGTTAAGCCTTACTGGGGTAGCGGTTGAGCGAGAGATGATTTTACTTCAGTTAAGCGAAAGATGGTTAAAAGCTTACTACAGTGAAGGTGAAGCGAAAGGTGGTTAAGCCTTACTGGGGTAGCGGTTGAGCTCGCGCAGGAAGAGGTCGTAGGGGAAGGGGCACAGCTGCTCGACGCGCACCAGCGCCACGTCCTGCGCGCCCACGCGCTCGCGCTCCTCCTCGAGCTCGTAGTACAGCTGCGGGAATTAAGCAAAGGATCAGTGCTTGGAATTTATCATACAGCAATCACGGTGCTTCTCTGCAAATTTGTCACACATTTGCAAAAGACAGTGGCAGAAATCAACAACCACTCTTCCGAAAACCGCTCCAACGAGCACCCAGTTTCAGGGACTATCTCATTCTGAAAGAAATAAACATATAAACAGCAAAAAAAACGGAAAAGTACCCACCTTGCCGCTGACGAGGACGAGCCGCTTGACGCCCTCTTCCCGAGTACAAGCATCTCTAGGATACACTCTGGAAAACCCAAGCCCATGTGTAGGGACAGTCTCCTGCTCAAAGTACCTAAACGCATATCCAGCAAAACTGGAACACAACGCACCTTGCCGCTGGCAAGGATGAGCCGCTTGACGCCCTCTTCCCACCTGGCAGCATCTCAGATATATACTCTGGAAACACCCAACCCAAAATCAGATGATAGTCCCAATCTACAAAAAAGGAAAACGCCTATCCAGCAAAGAAGACGGAAAAGTGCCCACCTTGCCGCTGACGAGGACGAGCCGCTTGACGCCCTCTTCCCGGTCGCCGTGCGCGCGCACGTCCTTGATGAGGCGCTTGAAGCGCGTGCCCTGGCGGTCGGACCCGGGATGGCCCTGGATGTCGTCGAAGTCGCCCAAAGTGGACCGGCACTTGGCGTGGCGCAGCAGGTTCTTGGGCGCCATGATGATCAGCGGCTTGCGGAAGTCGCGGTGGATCTGCGGGAGGAGCATCAGAACCTTAACTCTTATGGTTCTCAGGGCCTAATTTTCAGGCGTATTTGCACTTTCCAGGGCGCCATGATGGTCAGCGGCCCGTGAAAGCTGTCGGAAATCAGCGCACATCAGAGCCGGATGTTTCATGAAAAGCTCCCTAGGTTGAAAGCCAGAAGCGACGAGGGGATCGGTGGTTGCCCTGTGACGCCAGTGGGTTGAGCGGTAGGCAAAGTTTTGAGCGGACGGGTCCGGAGGCAGTATATGCTTGTCCGTCATCGTGAATTGAATGAGCGAAAGTAGGGTGTTCTGAGCAATGATCTGCGCAAGGATTTTGCTAGTGAGACTATCCCCGGAGAAAGGTCAACACGACTGATCCCCTTCACGACGTAAAAGAATCGTTTTCGAAAGCAGGTCTACGAGACCGGCGGTTGATATGCTGGAGGCCCGCAAATTTAGCTCTAATTCTGATAGCGGATGCAGTAGCGGGAGACCGTGGCGTCTCTGGTTTCCTCCAGACGTTGTTCAGATTCAGGACGTCATGTACAAGACGTTGCATGATTTAGCAGACAGTGTGACACCACAGACCGTCAGCTTCTGCAAAGGTCTAGAACGAAGGAAAGCCGCAGGATCAACTCCCTAGCTGCTTTTGTGTCGGCGAAGGACGTGAAGGTGACAGGCGGGCAACGTCATGCCGCAGACCTGCCAAGTGATCGCAACCTTCCAAGAGCCAGATGACAGCAAACCCACAAAAGCCAAACCCAAAACTTCCAAAACGTTTCCTTATCTGGCACCGCAGGACGTGGAAGTACTTAGAAGAAAAGGTTACGTTGCAAACCTGCCAGTTGACCACGATTCACAAAGCTCGCAATCCTAAGCGCCAACGACCAAGCCGCTCAGATCCTTACCCCAAAATTCAAAAACCAACTTCAAACCCCCAAAACTTTTTCTTACCTGTCGCCGCAGGAGGTGGAAGCAATAGGCGGGCGTGGTAACGTTGCAGAGCTATCGGTTGACTGCGGAATTACAAGCCTCACAACACTTTGAATAGCAGGTACACTCCATCACCCGGAATCCTATCCTTATTGTTAACCCCGAAACGTTGCCTTACCTGGCGCCGCAGGACGTGGAAGTAGTTGGCGGGCGTGGTCACGTTGCAAACCTGCCAGTTGACCTGCTGCAGCTGGCGGCGGAGCGAGGGGTCCATCTCGGGAATGACGTTCGGGTTGTCGTCACTCATCTGGAGATACCGCTCCAGCCGCGCGCTGCTGTGCTCGGGGCCCTGCCCGTCGTACCTGGCAGCCGGCGCGAGGATGAGTAAAAGACGAAGAAAGTTGCGAAGTAAAACATGAAGGGTTTAGATAGGGTTTTGTCGTAATGGGACCGATTCTTTGTCAGCCTCGGGCCCTGCCCGTCGTACCTGGCAGCGGGCGCGAGGATGAGTCAAACGACTAGCGAACGAACATAGCGAACCAGAACATCAAGGGTTACGTCGAGTTTTGTGGTTATTATGAGCGACTCCCTGTTACGCTCGAGGCCCTGCCTGTCCTACCTGGCAGCGACAATCGAAAAGTCGCAAAACCATAAAGAAGAATTCTGGGCTAAGTCGATGTGAGGAATTCGGCGACAAGGACATTCACACTTTGTTGTGATCTGGGCGATTGCTCGGCTCGGGGCCGACCCTCGTGTCTTAGCAAGGGTGGGTTTTGGAATGCTTGTCAGGATTCCAACAGAGAGGATGTATCTACGCAATCAAGATGAACACGAACAGCGTTTTCCGGTGCAATGTTTCAAGACTTGCATCGACAGTATTCGGTTGCACGACTCCCAGATCTGGCCACGAAGTCGGAAGAGCGCAGCGTTTAATTCTAGATTCATTACATGGTGGTCACACATGGCAATCACATCACGAAGTGGGAGAAGAAGTGAGCCGAGCATTGCTAAAGCAGAACGACAAAACCTGGGTAAAATCGAGGTTAGAGCCTAACCCGTGGGGCAGCAGGCAGACGAGCCCTGTCTGGCGCAGCCACTTGGCCTCCCCACTGCTGATGAACTGGTCAAAGATAACCTGCGCGCCGTTTGCAAAGTCCCCGAACTGCGCCTCCCAGATCACCAGCGAGTTAGGGTTCTCCATGGAGTAACCCAGCTCGTAACCCAGCACGCCGAACTCGGAGAGGCTCGAGTTGGTGACAGTGAAGCGCTCGGGGTCGCCCTCCTGGGACGGGGTCACGTGGTCCAGCGGGCAGTACTGCCGCCCGTTCTCCTGCGGGTAGCATTCGCTTATTTAACATTTGTTTTTATTCTTGTTTCTGTTTTCCTGCAGGTACGAAACTCGAAAGACATTATGAACTCTTCAAAACCCCTCGTTGAGTGCAGTTAGTGAACACCGCTAAGTCCCTCGTTCTGCGAGGCTTGGACGGAACAGCAAGCAGCACACTGCAGCTGTGGGTTCCCAAGATTGCGGAATTGCCTTTGGACATGATTAAAACACGAAAATACAGGTCAAATTTCAAAAAAAGATCTGGGAAGCTTTACCTGGTCGAGCAAAACGATTTCCCTGTGGCGGCAAAAGGAAGAAGAAGGAAACATAGGAAACCGCACAGCTTGCGACGCCTTAGAGGGCGGCACTCCTCGTCCAGTTGACAGCCAGAAAGTGTTCTTGGAGACATTTCCATAAGGAGTCCAGTGCGCACTTTGATTTAATTATAAACACGATGACTCCACTCTGCAGAGCTCAGCTCGGGAATCCCCAACTCCGGCTGGATGGGTTTGAAACTGCCTTCTGAAAGACCGATACGAATCCAAGAGCGTCTATCTGTTGCCAACAGAAGCTGACCGTGACGTTGCCCAGCCGAGTCGTCCCCCAGCCGAACTTGCATCAGTGCCCCGCCTGTATAACTTTTTGAGTTCTTAACATCAAAGCCATCTGAAACTCTCTGATGCCAGTGGGTTGCGACCGAAGCTCGGCTTTTCAGAACCTCTACCACGGTGTGGTAATTCCGAGAAGAGCAGATCGCGTGGAGACCCATTCTATAGTCAGTAGTTCGGTTTCGTAAATTCACAACCAGAAAAGCCATCAGTATCTTGAGAGTTTACTTGTATGAATGAGACCAATCTCCTGGAACCCTCGCCTGGTTGCGCACCCATCAAACAGTGGAGAGCCGAAAGAAGGTTCTAATCCTCAGAAGGTCTGAAGCTTTGCAGCCGTGAAAGCCGAAAAAGGACTTCAGACGGTTCAGTGTGATCTAAACAAGGTTTCTTGAACCCCAACCTGGTCGTGCAGCACGGCGTGCCTATGACTGAACGTCCCCCGCTCCACGTCTTGCCCGCTCAACCGCACGTGGTTGCCCTCCACGATGAGCGTCCCGAACGCAAGTGCCTCTGCGGTCGCCCAGTCCACCCCCTGCAGAACGTAGACCAAATTCAGGACGCTAAGAGATGGCGTGACAGAGTGCCATCGGTTGCTGCGCCGGAACCATCTTCAGGACGCCAATGTATGTCTGTCTGCTTCGACCTGACCCCTTCCAATTGGGTCGTGATGAAAGAAACGTTTTGTCGAGCGCTTGAAGCCGTATGCTCGTCTGATCATCTCATTGTGTTCTTGAAAGCGAGGCTTTCCATCCTAAGAGCTCCGATTACTCTTCAAGCTTGCTCTCAATCGGGACCCCCAACTCACGTGCTTATAAGAATGGGCGGACGTCACAAGTTAACACTCGGCGTCGCTCCACCCAGGGTGACATCAAAACAAACAGAAAGCACTGATAGGTCTTCTGCAAGCCAGAGTGTGAACAGCCTTCCACGTGGCATCTTGAGGATTGCACACGTGGCCAGCACATTGGGTGAGAAAGGATGCAGCCCGCACCTCGCCGGTCTCGATCATCTTCTGGCGCTGCTCGTACACCCTCCGGATGCCCCGGTGGGGGTTGAAGCCCTCGGGGAATGTCGTCACGGCCTGGCCCACCTGCTTCAGGACCTCGGGGTTGACCCCCGTGTTCTTGATCTTGGAGATCTGCTCCGGGCCCTTGAAGCCTGGGGAAAACAAGGAGACCAATGCTTACATGACGAACGAAGCTGTAACATTGTGTTCATTATTTTGGAGGTCTTTGCCAGGCACGTTAAGCCTGGGGTGAAGTTAAACCGACATAAGTTGACCCCCATGTTCTTGATCTTGGAGATCTGCTCCGGGCCCTTGAAACTGGGGGGAAAAGGAGAGATGAAGAATGCTTAACGAACGAACGAAACTCCGTCATGGCATTCATTTTGGACGTGTACTCCAGGCCCGTTAGCCTGGGGGAAAGTCAAACCGACATAACTTGACCCCCGTATTCTTGATCTTGACACCTGGGGGAAACAAAGAGACCAATGGTTTGGAAAACGAACGACACCTCACCTGTGTTCATATTAATAGAGTTCTGCTCAAGGCCCTTCAAGCCAGGGGGGGAAGTCAGATCAACAAAAAATCAAAAACCAACAGAAGACCCCTGAAACCTGGGGGAAGCGAAGAGACGAGTGTTTGATTGGACAAGGAAAGGTTCACCTCCGTGTTCTTGATCTTAGAGCTTGGCTCCGGGCCCTGAAGAATTGATTCTTCCGTGTCTACAAGTATGTTGTTCGAGCTTCCAGGAAGGGGGCAGCCAAGGTTGCGACAGTAAAGCGGTCTGCCGAAACAAGTCGTTTTCGACAAAGAATGAAATCTTGAACTGGTTTCTAGATTGAAGTGGGGAAAGTAGAGAGAACGACCTCGCCTTGAAGGAAGGCCATCAAGCGACAGCTGTAGAAAACAAGAGCAACTTCAAGTTTTGGAGCAAGACCAGCCAAAAGCTGGGGGTCGGGAGCAAAAACCGTTTGCAAAGCACACTGCACAAACCCCTTGCAACCACTAGTTGCAGAAAAGAGTCAGAGAAAGTGACTGATCAGTAAGGAAGAAAAGCGGAAGCAGGTCGTTAATTCTGTTCATGCCCACCTGCCCAGCGGAAGCCACGCGCGCATCTTTACTGGCCAAATTGACTCAAAAGATGACACTTCGTGCGCTGCACATAACAGGCCGTTACAACGACTTTCACCAAGTCCAGTTTATCGTGTTCTCACGCATTTCGTACCTGACCAGTAAGATGTGAGCCAGTCGCGCGTCTCGGGCTTGTAGCTCTTGGAGGCCTCGAACTGTTCGTTCAGGATGGCTAGCACGCGGTCCTGCGTTTTCTTGATCTCCTCGTCCGTCAGCTGTCCGCCGCGCTTCAGCTTCTCTTGGTACAGTTGGAGCGCCGGCGGGTGGCTTTTGATCACCTGGCAAAGGGAGCGAGAACATCAACAACAGTCTCTTAAGGCTAGATAAGGTATGGAAAAGGGTGAGCGAGCTTTCAAAGTAAGCTGCCCGCCGCTTAGCTCAGCTTCTCTTGGTACAGTTGGAGCGCCGGCGGGTGGCTCTTGATCACCTGGCAAAGGGAGCGAAAAGATAAGAACAGGTTTTTGGTCAAAGAGAAGCGAAAAAGCATGAATGAGTTTCTCTAAGCTGCCCGCCGCGCTTCAGCTTCTCCTGGTGCAGTTGGAGCGCCGGCGGGTGGCTCTTGATCACCTGGCGACGAAAGCGAAAAGATCATGAACAGGTTTTTAATGCTCAAAAAGGGGCGAAAAAGCATGAACGAGTTTCTATAAGCTGCCCGCCGCGCTTCAGCTTGTCTTGGTACAGTTGGAGCGCCGGCGGGTGGCCATCGATCACCTGGCGACGAAAGCGAAAAGATCAAGAAACAGGTTTTGGGAGGTCAAATAAGGCGTGGACAAACATGACGGAGTTCTTTGATAAGCTGCCCGCCTCGCTTCAGCTTCTCCTGGTACAGATGCAGCGCGTGCGGATGCCTTTTGACGACCTGGCAAAGGGAGCGAGATTATCAAAAACACTTTTTGAAAGGTCGATGTGGGGTGGCAAAGCAATTTCTGAAGGTAGATATGGGGTTGGAAAAGCATAAGTGGGTTCTTTGATAAGCTGCCCGTCGAGCTTCAGCTTTTCTGATGCAGCTGCTTTGTTGATAAGATGCCCGTCGAGCTTCAGCTTTTCTGATACAGCTGCAGCGCCCCGGTGGGCTGTTGATTCCCAGTGGCAAGTGCACCATAAAAGTTGGGAAGAAATCCGGGATGCCTTTCTCAACGTTATGAACTCGTGTTGGGATCGAAAAGTACGGAACTTCCAGCACGTTCAAAGGAACGAGCTTCGTGACGACCAGAAACCACCAAAAAGCTTCCACAATACCTATTTATAGCTTCTTCTGCAATTCCTGAAACTCAAAACAGCCCCAGACGACAAACCCACGGCACACAAGCTGAGTGCAACTCATGGTGCAACTTCAGAGTCCACAAGTTCGCTTGCTTCAAACGCAAGCCCACAGTCCGTAACCATGCAAATCAAAGATCCTACAAACAAAGCAGAATGCAGAACCGATTCCGGACCCGGACCAATGTTCGGACGCTGCGACTCACGCTGTACATCTTGGGCTGCGTGAAGGACGGCTCGTCCAGCTCGTTGTGCCCAAAGCGCCGGTAGCACACGATGTCAATGACGACGTCATCGCCCCACTTTTGGCGCCACTCCACCGCCAGCTCAAACACGTGCACCACCGCCTCCACGTCATCGCCGTTGACGTGGAAGATGGGGGCGTTCAGCGCTTTTGCGACGTCCGTGCAGTAGGGGGACGAGCGGCTATGCTTGGGGTCGGTCGTAAACGCAACCTAGGAATCGACGAAAACCTTGTGTAAGTTAGTAGGACATAGGATCGGGGGATTGAGCACCTTGGCCTGAGAGACGGATTCAAGTTCCATTGGATTACTTAAGGAATGGTTGCATCCAGTACTTTGCAGATCTGGAGATTGACCACCACCTGGAGAGCACCCTCGCCTGGAGTTTAAAAAGAATCCTTAGACAGAGTAATCTACCCCTATCAGAGGAACCGAGGACGCTGCCAAACAATGATTGACGAACAATCTCCTGCGAACGGCCTCACAGAAGGCAGATAGACACCTGTGGGCACGAGATGTTGGATGCGCGGACCCCTGTTGCAGCGCATTACTTTGGTCACCCCTACAATCACCACGCGCACTGATCTGGTTGTTTACCACCATGTGAATCATTCCCGCCGACGTGTGGTTAAGCGAAACTAATTGTCTTGCAAACCACTTTCTATGACCAGAAAACGTTTGACTTACCTGCTTGATGACCACCACATAATCATCCCCCACGTCGTGTAGCTGGGCAGATCGCACAATCCAAACGTCTCCTTGATCAGCAGCCTCTGTAATCAGAACCAAAGCGACTAACCTGGTTGTTGACCACCATATAGATCATCCCCCCGGTCGTGTAGTTCGGCAGAACCCTAAAATGTAACGCCACGTATAAGCAGAGTCAAACCCACTAACCTGGTTGTTGACCACCACGTGGATCATCCCCCCCGTCGTGTAGTTGGGCAGATCGCTCAGATGGAACGTCTCGTAAACCACGCCCTGCCCCGCGAAGCTGCCGTCCCCGTGCATCAGAACGCCCATGTTGCGCTTGCGCTTGGTGTCTCCGGTGTAGTACTGCTTCGCGCGGGTCTTGCCCATGACAACCGGGTCGACGGCTTCCAGGTGGCTGGGGTTGGCAACTAGAGAGAGGTGGATGTGCTTGCCGCCGAGGGTGGGCCGGTCGTAGGACGTGCCCAGGTGGTACTTGACGTCACCAGAGCCGGTGTAGAGGTCCTGGGGGAAGAAAGGGGGTCACGGATACATGTGTGCACTCGGAGAAGACGATGAAGATGCAATCGAAAGAGTGACAGGCGCGCGGCTCAGCCTGCTGCTAGGAATAATAACACTTTGTGCCAGTGGCGCTGGACTCCGCTAAACGAGGTCCAGGCGTCCTGGAAAAGGACAGAAAAAGTATATTGGACAGAGGCATCCAAAAGAAACCTGAAATCCAAAAAGGGCAAGCGAAGAATGCGGGCAAAGTTGCTCCAGAGAACTGCGGGTGACATAAGACCTCACATGAAGGCCAATGACAAGAAGGAAAAACGACCGGGTCATTCTCAAAAGCCAGCTGGGTGAACAGGGGCACCAAAGTTGGAGAATGCTAAATTGACACGTTGCAGTCAAGAACTCATTCTCTCAACAAGCAGATTTTTGTTGGTGAGCCCGCCACTAGCTCGATGGTCGCTGCTTAAATGTCCGGCTTTCGAAACGTTCTGGAAAGACATTTTGAGGCCTTGGAGGCACTTGGAAGCTTGCACGTTTGATCTCAGTAAGTTTACGAAAACCTGCCTTTTGGATGCGTCGCTGTCCCTGCGGCCACCTGAGGCGCTCACATCCCTGACCATGTCTGGCGGGGACCATTCATGAAACAGACACAAGCTTAGAGAGACGACGAGAAACAAGTCGTTTTCGGAACAAAGTGGGAAACCCCGGAAGAATCCAGTCAATACAGTATGTGGCACCGGCTCGGAGCCCCACTGACTCCCTCGGCAAAACAACTCCTTTAGCTAAGCACTCTTTACCGAACACTTGACGTTCGCTTCAAGGAAGCAAACAGACACTCACCCCTTCGTCCGCAATGGGCTTGAGCCCCCCGCTGAACTCGCTGAAGATCTGCGCGAGCGGCTTGCGCACCACGTTGCCCAGGACGTTCAACCGGCCCCTGTGCGGCATCCCAATCACGATGCTCTCCACCCCTAGATCCGCCGCCCGGTCAATCATTTCCTTCAGCCCGGGAATTAGGGTTTCGCAGCCCTCGAGCCCGAAGCGCTTGGCGGCGGTCCACTTTTGCGACAGGAAGGCTTCGAAGAGGTGGCCCCACATGAGTCGGTCCAGAATGACGGCCTTGCGGTCTTTGGAGTAGGGTGTCATGTGGGGTGCCTCGATCTTCTCGCGCAGCCAATTGCAGCGGTCGCGGTCGGGTATGTGCATGTACTCGTAGCCAACGGTGCCGCTATACGTTTGCCTGACGGGAAGGTGTGCGAAGCTTTAGAACACAATATTCTCAACGATCATTTTGCAGAGGGTCTTACTATGATACACAAGAGGATCTTATTATGAGACACACAACGGTCGTCTACATGAACTTGTAGCCGATGGGGGCCGCAGTGGGTGTGCCTGACAGGGGGAAAGGCCTCTGCAGCAATGATTTTCTGCACTTTCGCAAATCTATGTCGAGCTAGGAGTGCGGGAAATAAAATCGATGGGCAGGTACTCGTAGTGGCCGGTTCCACAGATTTGCTTGACCAAAACCCAGTGCAGAGCTTCGGCTTTCCAATATCGGGATAGTTATTTGGAGAGAAGAGCGCAGAACGAAATACATCGTAACCCAAGTTGCTCGAGTAGGAGCTAAGAAACCAAGGTTTCCCTATCTTACTCTTCGAAAGACCTGAGAAGAAGCGCAAAGGTTACCATCTGCTCATCCTCGGGAACTCGTAGCCAAACATGTGGGCAAGTAACCTCGTCTAGGAGAGAAGCCGAGAGGAGCTCGGAACCGAGAGAAGCATTCGTCTAAATCCTACGACAGCCTTCCAAAAGCCACGCATCGATTGACGGATTCTGAGCCTTGCGAGTGGATGACACCAGCGTAGGCTTCCTCGTGTACCAGGAAGACACCCAGTTCTGCAAGAACCACATAACGGCGTCTCCTGAACCCGTTCTCTTATGCAACAAACACGGTCTCTCTGAAGGATCTAAAGCAAAAATGCGCCCACTTACTCAAGCCTGGTCAGGATGGCCCTCAGCGTCTGTCGGGGCCTGTCCTCCGACAGGAAGCCCTTCATCCGCCACGTCCCCAGAAAGAACTCCCGGTCCAGGTCCGCGTCCGTGAAGCCGTACAGAGCCGGGTCGAGCTCGATCGGCAGCGCGCGGTCGTCGAGACCCAGGGGGTCCAACTTGGCAGCATAGTGGCCGCTCACCTGTACGGAGTATCAGGCTTCAGGACTTCATGTTTCTCGGGTTTCGGGTTCCGGGTTCCGAATTGCGGGTTTTGGAGATCGGCGTTCGAAATCACGATTTTAGGGTCTTAGGATTTTGAGGGTTTCGGGGATCCGAGATCGTGCTCAATCACGATGAGTTGCTGGGGTCCCCCGAGATGCTGGCACCGCTTTTTGAAGAGCTCAGACACGGATAATACCTTGCATACGATGGTGTTTCCCAGGACCATGAGTGGAAAGTACCTTTCAAACAAGACCAACAGCTGCTCAAACTTGATGCAATTCCCTAAGATCGTTGAACTTTAGTCAGACTCTTGGATGTTTCTGGATGGGCAAGCCTGAAACTGCTCCCATCAACAGCTGAAATAGAAGAGTCAAACGGTCGGAAGTGGGACTTCACCTGATAAGCGCGGATCAGGAGCAGCAGACGCATGCTCTCCTGGATCGTTTGACCGGACACGGCTGCCTCCGAAGCCGACCCCGTGAAGTTCCTGCGCCAAATAAATCTTGATGAGATAGGAATCCCAAGGAAAGCCAGACCGACTTAACCAACAGTTGAGCTGGCACTGAAGATTGCAAAACACCGTCTGACTTTTGCCAACCTTCAGTGTAAAGTTCTCTCGATCTCCATCCTAACGCAAGCATCAGGCTCTCGCAAACGTCCTTTCCCCTACGAAAGTAATTTTCAGTGTAAACTTCTCTCGATCTCCATCCCAACGCAAGCATCAGGCTCTCGCAAAACTTCCTTTCCCATACAAAGGTGGACATCTTTGACACCGGTCCGAATCCGTCTTCCTTCTCTGGCCCGGTTGCCGCAACTGCAAGGCCTTTCCTTCCGAAAACAATTCCAAACATGTGCAAGAAAAACATGGTCTACCCTTGTACCAGCGTTGATGCAGCCTCTCTGAAGTTTTTCGACTCCCCTTATATAAAAACCCTTGTGCACAATAACTTGATGGATTGTCAACCCTGGCTTTGGTCCAACCCGGTCCAAGCAATTGTACAGAGCTCACTTTGACGATACCCTGGACGACTTTGCAACGAGAAGAAAGGACTCACTGGAAGAAGATGTCCCACGAGGGGTCCACGCTCTTCGGGTCCGCCTCCCATGCGCGCTGGAGAGCCTCCAGCCACACGCTGCTAGTGCCATCCAGGAAATTGTCCGAGAGCTTGGACAGCGGCACAGACACCGGCTCGGCAGCCTTGAGCGCGGCGCTCGCGGTATGGAAGGTGCGGGCAAAGCGGAACCGGCGGGCGTCAATGCCTGCTAAGTACGAGCGGGCATTAGTATACGTGCGACGGACGTTGAGTGTGAGTGGGCGCAGAGAGTATAGGAGACCGGCTGAGTGTTGAGGCAGGCCACCGAAGCGCATAGACGGGCAGAGGAGAGCAGGCATCGGGGAATGTAAGAGGGCTTGGCAAGTAAGGGGCGCATCTCAGTTTGTGAACGAGCGTCAGAAACCACAAGGTGGCCTCAGAGCCTGCTGGCAATTCACTTGAGATGAGGCTCAGGGCCTGCTTAAAATGGTGATGCTGATTGCCACCAGTATTCCTTTCACTTATACAGGTCTTAAACTTTGTAAGGCAATTATTTTTGAAAGGAAACAGATTCCACTTAACGCGCAATTGCACACTGACTTTGATTCTCGAAGCCCCCTCGACAGGCCAAGTCCAGTAACCCTCTTTGGGGATGTCGAGTGCGCATCTTTTTATAAGTCTACACCAAAGTATAAAACCAAGGCAGGGTTGGATAGTCTGAATTTTACTTCTGTCTGAAAGAGCAAGCAAATGATCACAAATTTGCAAGGGATATGTCAACAAGGAATGGGGGGTAAGAGCGGCTTGAAGCGGAGCCACCTCCAGAAAAAGAAATCCCAGACAAAGCATGTGAAATGCTGAATGCTCTCATGGAAAAGGGCATCAGCATCAACAGACAGCATCGGCAATAGGAACAGAGTGGGTGTTATTTCCAAAAAGTTGCAAAACCGAAGTGCATGACAAAATACAAGAGAGCATGACACGATGACAAATTGCGTGGCCACGTTTACAAACCCTTGTCCCTGAAGAGCCTAGACTCCAATCTCCAGATTTCACTGTCCTCAGTGTGCAATCAAAGACACACTCAGCTTGCCTATTTATCCTTGACAACCTAAACACTGATACGTCCTACCTATAAACAGCAAATGCAAATTCCGATCGATATGAGCCAATGTTGAGATGTAAGTTGCATACATGGGTGCTTAAAGTATGGGTAAAAAGGGAGCTGATTGGATTGAAGCTCTCAAATTGCAATTGATATTGACAGAAGTTAAAAGTTGTCGATCAACCGCTGCATGAAGGGAGTTATCATTTTTTGACCGCCATAAGCCTTGCAAACGCTGCAAATAACAGTGATAACACGCCTTCGATCTAGCCAGATGTTGGTTGGAATGAGGAATCGGTGATCATACAATTGACCCGATGTCCTTATGCAGCATTCAAAGGTGAACCGAAACCACGCAAGTACCGGTAATCCAACAACGCACATACCAGTAGAAGGTTTCCCGGTCAGTCTTGCCCCAGAAGCATCGCATGCAGTGGACAAGCGCCGCCTCGCTCCAATCAGCGCAGCAGCATCCTCTTCCAGGACATTGCGACCAAGATTACACCCAGTCCTTGTGAGTCGAGCTGCATGTGCAGCCAATCCTCGCAACTTCAACATTGCTGAGATCCTCAATTGTCTTGAAACGATTGCATGAAGCAGCCGCAGCAATTTTGACCCTATACATACAACGGCAACCAAGCGTCCCTGTCTGCGCCTCCAGAAAATCTCATGTGGCTTTGGCGAAGCTTTGGCGATTGCTAGCTGCGGCGCTCATCTACCTTTGCTCAGCCTAGCACTTTAAGTTTAATGGAAGCCTCATGACGGAGAAGGGAAGAACTTGGCCGGGTAAAGGGGGGTAAACCGCGTTGCCGCCATCTGCGGCTGCGAACTTTGACTCAGAAGTTTGAGATTGGAGTCAGGACTGGACCCATGAAAGCAGCTACTGAGAAAGCAGCTTCGCGCGCGCGTCTTCGCGCGCGGCATAAACAATGATTGATACATCTAGATCGGATGCAAATTGATGTCAGATGTCTTTGACGAACTACCAACTTTCCTCAAGCTGTCCACGTGGA